AGCGTCTCAGCCCTGGTGCTTAAATGCTTTGCTGAGAAGGATAAGGACCATTATCCCCCATACTCTCTGGAAGGGGGGAATAGCTGGATTTTATTTGTGAGAATAATTATAACGAGTGGAATTAATCTACTTTTTGTATGAATGGCATTGCTTTTAAGAATACAAAGGTCAGGAAAGCATCTCAGATAGAAAAGAGAGTGTGTGGTGGTATAGGTCCATCCAGCCACTTCTCAGGGAGCGCCTCAAGGTCCTGTTGTGCACAGTAATCAAACCTGACAAGCAGTGCATGGAGAGGCCAGAAAGCAGAAGAGGTGAATGCAAGGCAGTGCACTCACTGATGGTGTGCTGGGTGTTGGTGAGCAGGCACTGCTTTTGCCCTGATCCCACTGTTGCTTGTCTTTCTGCTCACTCCCAGTCTTGGCCTGCTGCTGCACTATGCAGGAAGCAGAGGCACTGGGATAAGTGCTGGTTTCTTGGGCTCCAGGAGTCCATGATCTGAGTGAAGCCATAGAAGGGCACTGTAGGTTGGGTTTTCTTCTCTCATCTCTGGCCTGCTGGGCTCTCTTCTGTTCAGAGCACAGCTTCGCAGGGGCTTGGCTTCCTGCCCTATGATTTCTTCAAACCCAGGAAAATGGGGTTTGTTTGGGCTGGGACCTCTTGGTGTGACAGCAATACAAATGCAGGGCTATAATTCCTCAGTGCACTGCGAATGTGGGGGAAGAGCTGCAGAAGTGCTTTGTGCTGTCGCTGCCCTGCTGTGCACAGCCTGGTGCTGCTGGTCTGTTCCTAGGGATGCCAGGTCATGGATTCACCTCAAATGAGCCAAAGTCCTGGGGAAGCCCGCAGTGCCTCTGCACTCTGCTGTTCTGTGTTGAGGGGACTGCAGCAGAGGGACAGTGGGAGCATGGGGTGCAGAGCTCGGTGTGCTGAATGCTGCCTGTGTGCTGCAACCAGCTCCTGCCTCCTCCTAGCCCTGCAGGGAGGTGTAGTAGTTTGTCTCTGAGTCCTGGTGCTCACTGAGCACTCCTCACCCAGAAAGCTCTCCATCCCTGTGTGCTGGGAGGGCTCCCTCACCTCAAAGATGGCAGTGGGATGGAGAGAGGTTCTTCAATTGGTCGATACAAGCTCTATTTTCTAAGCCTAATTATTAGTAAGCGTGGACATCCTTGATGTCCAGAGAGGATTCCTGAGAATCTCTTGTACATACCAATGTCTCTGCAGTTCTGATGTAATCGATGTATTGATGTTGCATTTCCTCCTATAAGAGCTGAAGCTCTTTGGCTTCATCCTTACCAGTAAGTACATCTCCACCTACTGCTGGATAGTTGGAAATCTGCACAGGAGGATCTGCCTTTGGGCTGGTGTGGTGCTGGGGAGCTGCTGGGGGCTCTCGGGAAGGTGCTGGGCTCCCTGCCTGCAGGAGGAGGAGCACCGGCACCCTGCAGGATGGAAGGGATGCATCCTACATAGGGAGAGAAAAGGAAGCATCAACACTTGCCTTTTTTTTTTTGCCATTTTTTTTCTTTTTGACAAATTTGTTGCTTTAACCGAACCAAATGTCAAAGGAAAAACTGTCCTAGCGAGGAAGAAAAAGCTCAGTCTTCTGCAGTTTTAATTTCCTCTGGGACATCAGAAAAATTTGGTGAACAGAATAGAACAAAATCTCAGAACCTCCTGGAAAAAGCTGATGTTTGCAGCAGGCTATTGAAGAGAAGGGCTGGTGGCAGAGCAAAGCGGTGCTGCTCCGTGCAGCCCCCAGCTGGTTGGCACTAACTCTGGCAACCTTGGGATATCACAGGGTTTGGAAAGCTGTTTGCAGACTGTGGGAATGCGGGGCATCCCCTGGGGACAAATGAGCAGGTCTGATCCATGTTTGCTTCTTGAGAAACTCTTCAGACAATGGCTTGGCCACGTGGAATTGGTGGTGTCTGTCCCTGTATTGGTAGTGCTCTGAAGTTTTCCTAAGGGATGATGCCATGCTGTTAAATTTGTAGGGTCCTTGAAATGCCGTTGTTGCTGTGTCTGCTGAGGAGTTTGTGGCAGTGGAAGGATGGCATGGAGCATGGCTGTCACTTGGCCTGGGACGTGGAGGGATGGCAGGGGCAGGTGGCTCTACAGCCCTTGGGAACTGCTGGAGGTACAATGAGAGCCAGGCAGATCTCTCAGCCCCATGGTTGTCTCTGGAGAGATGTTGGTGCAGCCCTGAGCATGGAGACTTTGGGCAAAACGTGCACTCCTTTTCTTACCTCATGTGGCTGCCAAAAGTACCTGCACACAGTTGATGCTGCTCACGACATGCAAGGCTTTGAGAAGTGTTCAGTCAGCGTTTCTTACAGAAAGCTCTGTGTGCAGCTGCTTCTGGGTCTGATCTCAGCATTGTAGGTTGATTTGCTGGAAGAATTTGAAAGAAAAAACCAACCTTTTTGATTCATCAACTTCTTACAGTGGGTTATAGCGTGCTTTATCATTAATGGGTTGGATCAGCACGTAAAAGGAGTTTTGGCAGTCAGGATTGAAAGCTAGCTAGATGAAAGGAAAATATTCCATGATGCAGGTACTGTGGATCCAGTTAAGACTAATGAGAAATCTGCTTTGTTCTAAATGATATTTTCAGAAAGATTGTTATGACAGCAATGGCTGCTGAGCAACCCTGAGCCATTTCTCTCCCCTCCCGTACAATGGTCTCTGCATAATGCAGGCACTGAAATGAGGGATCAGCAGTTTGTAATGGGTTCTCAGACTGAAATTAAGCGTTGATTTCCTAGCTCACAGCCAGATGTTTGGCACTCATTTAGCAGACAAATATTTCTGGGCCAGAGCAATTTTTATTTGGACTCTGAAGTCGTGGATGCTGTGTTCTGTTGGCCTTCATTCTCTGCATCCCCAAGGAGGAATGCACTGCAAGCACGAGGGTTTGCTGCTCTCATTTGCCTTCTTGCACTGTGAGTGAAGCACAGACTGTCAGCACAGCGCTTCAGGTTACACTTTGCAGCCACTGCTCTTTCTAGGAACAGGCAACTTCCCAGCAAGAGCGAGCCTTCTGGACACACTCATTATGTGTGGAGTGATGCATTTTGGCTTCTGCATTGGTTGAGTTCTGGGTAAGCATATGACAGCCATAAACTGACATCATCGGCACTGGAGATCTGCAATTAGTCTGAAATGCATTTTGCTGAGTAACAGCCTTTTGCTCTGAGTTGCAGCAGAGCTGCTTTGCCCACCCAGTGCAACCAGTCCCTTGCCCTCTTACTGCCAGCAATCTGCTCTGCCAACAACTGGCATCTGAGAGCTTCATTTCGCTTTTTTCCTTGCGACAGCCTGGATTTTGGCTTCAGCTTCAGGTGACCTCTTTTCTCCCTTGGAAGGGAAATGCCTGGTGAAAGCAGCAGCCCTGCACTGGTTTCTTGTGACCTGCCTTGGTTCGGTCCCCTCTCTTCTGTCTTTGTGCCTTTGTTTGTGCTCAAGTTCTCCTGGAAGAGGTGCCTTCACATAGAGGCTCCCGCAGGTGGGAACTGAGTTTCTTGATGGGTTATTTTATGCATTGTTTTTGTCATGTGCTGTACAACAAAAGTACAGTAGGGGAGTCTCCATTTTCTGGTAAAACTCCCCAAGCGTTTCCCTAATACTTCTTTTGCTCAGTGCTGCTGCTTGATGGCATTACTGCTGAGATCATGATTTACGCGTAAGCCACTTTGTGCATCAAACATCTCCCCTGAAGTTAACATTCTTCTGGAATTAGCAATATAACATTTAGTTAGAATTTCTGAATCGTTTCCCAAGGGAGAGAGCTGACTACCCCAGCTCCAGTGATTCTTGTCCATCAGGGCTCCTCAGGCATGGGGCTGGTCCATGGGGCTGGTGGCAGCGATTACAGCTGGGCGTGGGAACGATGCCCCAGGGTGTGCAGATCCAGAGCAATAACTGGAGACAAGGCTGAAGCAAACCATGGAGCAGAGAGGAATGGCTCTGTTAGGAAACGAATGTATTGATCTGATGAATCATTTTGAGGCAAAAGGGGAAATTAAATGTGCTCAGAAAGCTGGCACACTCGTAAATGGGCTGCGGGTTTTTATCCATCTAACATTTCATGGGCTGCAGTAAAGCATGTCTTATGGTGAAATCCCATTAAGAAATTATACTCTGAGTAGGGAAACATGGATTTTGTTAACAGGGAACAGAGACTTGGTTTCTTTTCCTAGATCAGCTGTGGGGTGGTTTGAGGGCATTCTGTAGGGTGGTTTTGAGGTGTTCCATCAGGCGGAGTTGGGGTGCGGTGGGGTGGCTTTGAGATGCAGTTGGTGGGGTGTTTTTGGGGTGTTTTTGGGGTGGTTTTAGGGTGGTTTTGGGGTCCCTAGGGCCGTGAGGTAATGGCGGCCGCCTCTGTCCGTGGTGCTGAGCTGCCGTTCCTGCGACCCTCGGGTCTCCACGTGCTCTGGCACCACCGCATCCCGCAGCGATGATCCTTGTTGGGTGCTGCCGTCGGGCACGAACAGAGCAGCCAGGGGCTGACAGCATCCCCAGAAAGATGGTAGGGTGCATGGCCCCATCTTTCGGTCCCACCTGCACACTGGGGGACACATGGAGTTATCTCCTGCTCGGGGCTTCTTTGGCCATGATGAATTCCCTGCTCTGTTTGGCACCTTGACAAATCGATGCCAAGAGTGTTGAGGGAACAGCAGTTTTGTGCTCACCTGAAGTGACAAGGCTGGGTGGTGTGAGGACGGGCTGTTTTGGCACAGCCAGGTGGGCAGGGATAGAGCACCAGGTGGTGGTGGCAGCTCAGAGTGAGGCAGCGATGAGTTCCCCTCTGCTTTTTTGCAGCGTTTGCATTCGGGAGGAGGCCTTGTTCTGCTGCTTTGTGTCCATGAGCCAAGCGTGCTGAGTCTGTTCCCTGGCATTCAGTCCGCACGCTGCTCTTTACACAGAGCGATAAGATGAAATAGCTTCCTCCCCCTCATGTTGCTACAGAAAAACAGGGATGGGGAAAAAATAATCCCTCATCCCTTGCCCTGCCTGTGGTGATAAGCATAATGCAAGCATTTGTTTTTTAAAGGAGGCAGCCAAGACAATTACATTATTTATTGAACAAAGCCGTTTTGGAGATTTCTGCACAGCGAAGGTTTTCTTAGTCATTTTGCACCAAATCCGTTGCAGCAGCAAGGCCAGAGAGTTTGCCTTGACTCCCCTCACTACCAAAATAAATGTGCAGGGCAGGATTGTTCCACTGAGCAGCCGCGAGTGGGGAGAAAGGAGAAGAAAGGAGATGGTATGTGCCGGCAGCTCTAAACTGAATGCAGTGAGGATTGCTATGTACGGGAGAGTTCAGGGGAGAAAGAGGAGGAAGTCACAGAGGCAGCCCAGGCTCGCAGGATGGCGAGAGCCAAGCTGAAGAATTCCCCTTCCGAGAGCAACTCACACGTGAAGACTGTCCCACCAGCAACGGCAGAAGATGTCCGTGGGGTGAGCCCCTTGCTGCCAGCACGGAGGATGGGCTCCCTGGGGAGCGATGTCGGACAGAGGTACTGCGGGGCTGCAGTGGTGCGTGGGCTTGGGAAGCAGAGGGGCACGCTTTGTCTTTTCAATAAGAGGGAGAGGATTCACGCCACCAGGGGCTGGAGGGGTGGCGGGTGAAATCCTTCTGACAGCTGTGTGTGGAAAAGCCATGCCAGCTCTGAAGTTCCATTATGAAACAGATAGCTGGAGCAGAAGAAAACCATATCCTTTGAATTTTTTGTAAGTATTCCTTGGTTGTTTTTTTTTCTGTAAATTTTTAAATTTTATTATTATTATTATTATTATTATTATTATTATTATTATTTGGTTTGCCAAAAGCATCTCTGAATGGCAGCCCTGAGACTGTAGGGCTGCTACATGATGCTGCTAACTTGTGCTGCACCTTCTCTGTGCGGTACGGCACCAAAGCTTATCTACACCACTAGCACCACAGAAAGCACTGTACATAAGCACCATGTTTGCACTGATGCTCGATCCCCCTTCTGAGGGATGATTTATTTACAACAGCAGAAAAAAAAAAAAAAAAAAGAAGGCTGCCCTAGGAAATGCTGCATCCTCTTTCCGCAAGCACACAGCTGATGCACAGGAGAAAAATGTGCTGTTTTTCAGGAGGATGGAAACAGTTTCACACTGCACTATGCTTCTGAAGAAGCTAGACCTCCTCATTAAGAAGAGGAAGCATGTGTCAGGAGTTCAGCTCTGGTTCTGTTTATTTTCTTTCTGTCATCTCTTCAGCATTTCAGCCCATCCATGCTCTCTTTCTTCTCAGCAAAATCTGCCTCACCTGTGACTGTGCTGTGTATCTCCTAGGATGCGATTTGGTGCTGTTTCTAGCTCTGGTTTCCAGTGCAAATTAGCACAGTAGGAAAGCTGCTGCTCGTGGTGAATTTTACTTGGCTGACTCCAGGCTTGCAGGAATTCACCACCTTGGCATCGGGACCTTCATGCAGCTCCCTGGTGGGCCAGGGGAGTGCAGGCAGCGGGCACAGCTGAGCAGTGTTGTGCCCATGGGGGAGGCAGGGAGGTGTGCGGAGGTGCTTTGGTCTCCAGGTCCGGGAAGCAGAGTCCCGGTGTGCCTGCAGAGCTCAGGTCTCCATGTGATGGATGATGGCACCATGGTTGGTCTTCCAGCAGGCGGACTCTTGGATCTTGTGAATCACTGCCTTCTGATTTCATGAGCTGGGGCTTACGGGTATGGAAGGCTGCATACGTATGGGAAGCTGCACATGGGCATTGGGCAGGTACCCTGCAACTCTATCCCTGAGCCTGGTGAGGTATCATAGAATCGTAGAATCACAAGGTTGGAAACGACCTATAAGATCATCTAGTCCAAGGAGGTGTCATCACGCTTTACTGAGCAATCTGCATCTCCTCTACTCCCTGGGCAGATTGGTTTGCTCTGGTTTTATGACTTGTTTTCAGAAGGATTGACCCATTCTGGGGACTGTGCTGTTAGCAGAGTCTTGGGGAGAGATTGCTTCCTTCCTTTCATCTGTCAGGCACTGTTGGTGTTCCCTCAGCAAGCCCAGAGGTGCTGGGTCTGAGCAGAGTCTCATACCTGTGGCCAGGGGGCTCCTCCAAACCCATCCCAACCTGCTGGAGTGGAGCGTGCAAGAGGGGCTTGGTGGGCTCAGCCCAGGAGCAGGAGCTCTGTGCCTCTTGGCAGGGATTGTGTGGCACAAGGAGCGGTGCTGGAAGGCAGGGATGGATCCAGGGCTGGGGGGGCAATGTCCAAAAGCCACAGAGCTGCAGTTGTTAGTGGACCTGGGCCAGAAGGCTGAGAGCACGAAGCACAGCGGGTGCCTCCGGACTGCAGATAATACACAGTTGAACCCAGTTCCCTGGGCTTCATTGGAATTTCATGGGTTTTGCTGCAGTCTTGCTGTAAGAAGCTGGTGGCTTGGACACTGCTAGCGGGAGGTGAAGTTCCTGGCAGCACTCTGCACTGCTCACAGAGCCCCACGAGCTGCCTGCAGAGCCTGAATCCTGCAAGTGCTGTGCTCCCCTCGGTGATGGAGTTGGCGATAACAACGGTTGGTGTGCTTGTACTTCATTGCCTATGCAAGAGACAAAGGAAGGAAGATTGCTTTGAAATTATGGATGGTGTGTCAGAGATGCTGTCTCCTCCCGAGCCAGACAAGCAGCATTAGCATGTTAGCAGCGATGGTTGTTACTGGGACTTTGGGGTGAGATGCGAGGTGATGCTGGGAGCAGATGCTGTGTTACAGGATGTTCCCAGTGATGCAAATCAGTTCTCCAGGCGGCTGAAGCCAGTGAAGTTTATTCCCACCTACTTTATTTGCCTTTTACTCTGTCTGTAGTCAACTGCAGCATCTCAGAGCTTTTTAGTGGCTCTTGGTTTCAGCAGGAGAGCAGCTCTGCTGTGGTTTGGAAGTGACCGAGCAGCCCTGCAGCTCCGCACAGCAGGAGGCTGCGTGATGCTCGCAGCTGCACTGCATCCTACTCTGAAAGGAGCACGATATGGGGAGCTTCGCTCCTACAAGAGGGAGAGACGGTGCTGGGGGAAGACTTTGGGAGGAGAAGGTGTTGAGGTGGAACAAATCACAGAAAAGTCGATTTTTGAGCTGAGCTCTCCGTGGAGCACTGCAGCGATGCAGGCTGAGGGCTGTGTTTGGGAGAAAGCTGCTGGCAGTGTGGTCATGAAAATATCTGTGCTCGGATCTCACTTTGGGGGCTGTTGATCTCTCCGCAGCACCGGACGTGCGGACATTCTGTTGTGTTCTTATTTAAAAAAACAACATTTTTACAAGATAATTGTGTCCTGTTTATGCAGCTTTGCTAGGAAGCAGGGGAACTTCTGGCCGCTCTGCGTCCGGAGGCAAGCTGATATTCTTAAGGGATGGCAAACGTCCTGTAATGGATCTGTGTTTGAAGACCTGTTCAACCTGTTCAAAAACTTTGAGGGGGGAAGGGGGAAAAGGGAGGGAGCAAGGCTGGCAGCACTGCCTGTCCTCCCCAGAGCCCAGCATCGCTCCCTACAAACTGGAGGGGCACGGCCAGCCCTGAGCAGTGGGAAGCAGCCACGTGCCATGGAGCTGTGGTCTGACTCAGGGTGAGCTGCTCTCCCACTGCTTTGGGAATTGCAGGAACAGGAATTAGGGCTGCAGGTCTGGGAGCGCTGCCACATGAAACCTCATGGTGCTGAGATGGTTTGATGGAGAACATTGGAGTTGTGAGCTGGTTTAAGGGACACATGGAGGAGCCTCTTCCTCAGACAGTTGGTGAGGTCGGGTCAGATTGACTGGGACTGGTCCTGCTAAGCTTCGGGAATCTCCCAGGATGGAGCTTTTCCAGCCTCTCCACATGCTTATTGTAGTGCTTCATCACTCAGGGTGAATATTTCTTCTTCATATTCAGTCAGGCTTCCCCTTGCTGCATCTTATGACTGCTCCCTCTGTCCTTTTGGGAGGAGTGGGTTCCCTCTTGCCTTGCACTCAGTGGCTACAGACAGCAATCGCTTTGTTCCCTCACTTCCCTGTCCTCAGACTCCATGGTCCCATCCCTCCTTGTCTAGCAGCTGGAGGTGGTTCTGGCACCAATACATGGGGTTTGCTCCATCCATCGCACACTGAGGGCTGAAAGCTGCATGGCAATGGGTGAGAAATGGCAGCACGCTGGTGGGCCCCGGGCTTGTTGAATGGAGAGCACTTCAGAGAACACCAAAACCACCCAAATGTGTTTGAAAATGTAATTTCTGACTAATCAACGGCTGTTCCCCCAAGGGGCCACCAGGCATTAACAAGCTCATCCTGTTGGATGTGTGCTTACAGCCTGATGCTCAGACCCACGGTCTGCTCTGAGCCCTGGTGTTGCTGGGGCTATCGTGTTTGGGTTTCTCAGTGTTGGTCTCCATAGCAAGTCCTGGGTGCACGTTCTACCTGCAGCTGAACACTGAACTCACCGGGATGGGGGTCAGTGAGCCAAAAGCAATGTTTTTGCACATTTCCTTCATGCAGTGCAGAGCTGCGGTGCTGCAGGCTGTGCTGCTGCCAGCTGTTATGAAGATAGCCTGAAAAGGTTCCCAGCTCACTCCCCAGGGCTTTGCTTTGGAGTTAGGGAGGGATTGGACTTACTGAGGTGCAGTGGGGACTTTTGGCTGTGCTGGGGGTGAGGCACCCCATGTCACCATGTCCTCCAGTTCCCTCTTGCAGTATTTGCTTGGATTTTGGTCTCGTGCTGTGCTCCCCATCCTGCAGACCCCCCCACGCTCAGTGGGGAGCTGCCCCCTCCCACGCCATGTCCTACGTCGGTGCTGAGCTTTAGGTGCCAAGCATCAGGAGCCCACGCTCCAAACGTGCGCTTGTGTTTTAGCCCTGCTTATTTTTGGTCTTTCATCCTCATCAGAGCCCGGTGGTGTGCAGGGCTTCAGCATCGCTCCCTTGGAAGGGGCTGATATGTGAGCTGAGCATTCCTCAAGGTAAGGGCAGGCAGCACACGTGGCTCAGCGGGCTGCATTTGGGCCACCACACGGTTTCCAAACTGCAGCCCCTCCCTTGAGTCCCCATCCCTAGGCTCTGAGTGCACTGTGAGCTGTGGGGCTGCCCCATCCCATCCTGCACACGTTGTTGGCCAGACGCTGCCTGTGCTGCTTCCTTCTCCCTTCCTCTTTGTTGCTCTTTCCCCCCCTCTTTGCTTTCCTTTTTCGTCTCCTCCCATCTGTCCTTCTCACATCAGGCTATTTTTGTGGATGAGTTTCTCACTGTCAATATGGTAAGAACCGTGGTGTAGCTCTTGTCTTCGTGGATGTGTGCCTCTCTGGGGACCCTTCCCCAGCAGCTGCCCCTCCTGGTTGGCTCTGTCCCTCTACTGTGCCCCGTGCCCTCCCCATGAGCACAGACCCATTGGGTCTGAGGGCTCCTTCAGCCCCAGGTGCCCCAACATAGCAGGCAGTGGCTGAGCACCCTGAAGTGCAGTGCTGGTGGGAGAGCATTTGTGCCCTAGTGGCTCCAGGGCCCCCCACTCGAGGCAGGGATCCTTTGCTTCAACTGACTGGGAACTGCACGGCCAGAAGTGAATTTGAATCCTCTTCATTGTTCAAAATACTTCCCAGAAGATGATAGAACAGCAGAGAGTGGCAGTGGGCTGCCCTGGTTGGGGCAGGGTTGGAGTGTGCAGCCCAAGCTGGGTGCTGCAGAGGGGGCTGTGCAGTGCAGCGTGGGTGGGCAGGCATGTACTCTTGTACATAAGCAAGCCTCATTAGTTGCCTTTTGTTCTAATAATAAACCTGCCATTGTGTCTTCTCCTTAGAAGAAAGTCCTACCCTTTGTCAGGGGCTGCATCTTGCAGATGTCAGAGCTGTCTGAAGCTGTGAAGTTTCTTTTCTTTGCTGTGCCTCTCCTTGCTCTGTGCCTTTGCTGCTTGCACTGCAGGATGCCACCAGCCTGGCTGCTCCCTTTGTCACATCCTGGGGTGGCTGCAGCCCCTCGCAGCCCTCACCCACAGGGCACATCCCTTCCTCCTGCCCATCTCTGTGCCTGTGGAAGCGATGCTGTGGCTGTAAGTCTGTCTGCCCATCTTTCCCCCTGGAGGCCATGTACCCTTCTGTAGTGAACAGAACCCACCAACTCTTAAAAACTTGTTGATGTCTGGAAAACAATCCTTTCCCAGTTGGGAATTGGAGTGGATTTTATTTTTCTTCACAGATTGCAGTGCTTCAACCGTGGCACCAGGCAGGCAGAGCTGGGAGCGCTGGAGCTGCCCATCACCCAGGGCTTTCATTGCGGGGCCTTTCTGGGGCTGCAGCCCCACACCCCATGCTGAGACCACAGCTGCAGGGTGAGCAGAGTGCAAGGGACCATGTGGTGCAGTGCCCCACAGCAGCTGGTGTGCGGGGCTGTGTCTGCAGGAACTCTGCTCACTCTGTCCTCTCACCACCAGCTACCAGCTGTTGTGCATTAGGAGAAAACCAAATCACTTGCTGTTTCTTGCCCATAATGTGTCCGTGAGGCACGGATGGATGCTGTGGAAAGCCAAGTGTGAGCAAGAGCCTCGGGCAGTGCCTGCTGCTGGGGTTAATCCCATTTTCTGCGGGGATTGGGGCTGGCTGGCACAGAGCTTGTTGGGCTGGGACTGCCCACCCCAAAGTGTCCTGTACAGGTTTTGCAGATTAAGAATCAGAAAGTTTGCAAGTTTTCATTTGGTTTGTGACCCAGCACCTGTCTCGGCTTTGCTCAGCCGCATTCTGGGGGATTTTGGAGGGACATGAGTGCATTGGGCATCACCACATGCTGAACAGTTGGACGAGACCCTGGGGAACATGGTCTGGTGCCTGATGTGGTGGTTGGCTACCCTGCCTGCAGCAGCAGGTTGGAACTGGATGATCTTTGAGGTCCTCTCCAACCCAACCAGCTATGATGCTAAGAAAGCTCCCTGCTGCTGGCATGGCAACACAGCACATCACTGTGCTGGCATTGCTCCATGTGCCATGGGGACATTGGGTGTCCCCACAGGCATTTCAGCACAGGAGATGTGTGTCACATAGGTAGTGACAGAGGAGCAGCAAACAGAATGGTATCACAGGGAGGCTGCTCTGATCTCTGGGTAGATGGGGGATGAGCTGGCTTTCTGTTGGACATGCATTTCAATTGAGATGGGAATTTATTGCTGTTACATAGTTTGAAATACAACAGAGTGCTTTACTGCATATTTCAGACTCCTCTGTGCAGGGAGCACCAGGAGATGCCAGCATGAAGCCAGGCAGTGTTGGGGTGGCCTGGGGCTGCCTCAGGGACTTCTTTGTGCATTCCACTGCCTTCATTTGTGTGCCACCCCCCATAACATTAACGCCCCTCATACCCTCATTCTTCCTTCTGTTTATTTCATTTGCCTTTTTATGGTCATTGGTTGTGAATGCAGGAGCTCTCCAAAGTGCACATGGTTCCTAGAAGTACCCCAAGCAGCACCTCGCAGAATGTAATTTCTCTGCAGAAAGTGTGAAACTGAGTTCGAGACGGAGCAGTTTGTGAGAGCCATCAAAGAAAACCCCCAAAAAGCATAGAGAAAAAATCCCCCCCCCAGACAGCATAAAGAAATGTGTTGGTGTGGAGCTGAGCCCTTAGGGCATCTCTGGGTGCCTGAGGAGGGGACGTCACCGTGGCAGTGTGCATTCCTAGGGCTCAGTGCCAGCCCTGCTGGTCCCCCCACAGCTGCCTGCTCTGTGCCGCACCGCCCTCACCTCCTGTGATGCTCTCACCCATAGGCCCCACGCCGAGGATTTCAGCATGGATTCCTCCTTCTCTCAGTAAGTGCCATGCATGTGTGCATGCAGTGCTGGGAGCGCGAGCAGCCCTGGGTGCCAAGAGCAGAGCCAGGGCAGCACAAGGGCTCAGTGCTGCTCTTGGCACCAGGGCTGGCGGGCTGTGCCTGCAAACCAGAGTGGTTCCCAGCATGGGGAGCCATGTTCAGTTCCATGGGGATGGAGCCAGGTCCTTGCAGCAAATTGGTGATTGCCCATCAGTGCTGAGCTCCGTGTGCAGGCTCTAATTAAACAATCCAGATTCATCAGCAGAAGCAATTATTGGAGCCGATTCCTGAGCGTCAGTCTCCAATGTTGCAAAACAAAGAAGGCAAACTGAATGCAGCATGTTGTTCTGTTGCTTCTCCTTGTTCTGGTTTCTCACCTTTTTTTAATTATTGAGAGCAGTGGTGTGGCTGTGGGGTGGTGCAGACTGGTTGCAGCCGAAGGATGGGCGCCCCATGTGCTGTTGATGGGGCACAGGGGCAGCCCACACCATTCTTCTCACTCTGGCAGGTGCTCAGTTCTATAGGGGTGCCACAGTGTGTGCACAGACCCACACCCCCCTTCCTCTCCCAGCATCATGCGGTGGTGTCTGTCTGTCCCCAGCCCTGTCTGGCAGCACCGTGGCCCATCCCCAGAACCCATCCTGGGGCAGTGCTGGCAGTGGGCTGCAGAGCTGTCTCCATTTGTTCCAAACCTCTCTGCCTGTCTCACTTGCATCCCGCTTCCCACTGGGGGAGATGTAATGAGACATTTCCCAGGATGAGAATGCTGTTTCCTGGCCAACTGCAGCGGGAGCGCAGGGACTGGAGGTGCAGGGAGCTGCCGATGGCTTTTCCTCTCTTTCCAAAGCTGCGCTTATTTGAAGATACATTTCTCATGGTAAAATATTTCGGTCGGTTTGAAATAGAACAAAAGCATCCATGGCACGTGAGCTCCTGTGGGAGCAGCGGGCAGCAGCCAGCCTTGGGCAGGTGGTGCTGGGGCCGTGCCCGGGTGCTGCTTTGGGGCCATCTCAGCTTCCCGACAGCTGCCAGCCCAGGGCCAGAGCTGTGCCTGCCTGCGCCATGGGGACGAGGAGCTCGGGGTACGTCCCAGTCTGCTGAGGGTCAGTGGGGGGCATGGGCTGCTGGGGTGGGGGAATGGGTTGGGGCAGCTGCCGTGCTCTGCTTTGTGTTGGGGCTGCAGGGCAGGGCTGAGCTCAGGTAGGTCTCTGCACTTTTTGGAACAAATTTTGTCTTTTCTGGGGGCAGAGCTCATCATCTTAGAACAAATTGCCTCTAATCTTAGGTTAATAGAGCACAATAAATAGCCGAGTAAAGCAAATGGAATTTCTCAGGCATTATGGCAGGAATTACACTTCCAAGAAAAGGTTTGGAACTAAACCCATACCTCGATGTGTATCAGGGCAGCTGGGCTGCCGCTGCCCCCCAGGGCACAGTCCTGGTGCTGAAGGCACAAACTGCCCAAGGGAGCCCTGCCTGGGGCTGAGGGCAGTGGGGGTCTGGGGCAGCAGGAATGCAGCCAGGGCTCACTGTGGGCATGCTGACTTGCAGTTTCAGTGAAATGCTTGACAAGGGTGTGCTGGAGATGCACTGAACACCCATCTCAGCTGGGAAGGGTCTGTTGTGTGTTCTGATGGCTGCTGGTGATAAATGAGCATTCCCATGCCGTGGGATGTGGCTGACGCTCTGCACGGAAGTGCTGCTTCTGCTCCTGCCCTGTCCCTCCACAGGGACAAGCAGCTGCTTCCCCCACAAGCCCTATTCCGCTTGATTTCCGTGTGTTTCTTCTCCCTGTTGCCATTCTAACTGCTAACTGGTCTACTTGTCCCCAGAGGAGAGCTCTGTCACCAGCATTCCCTTTTATCCATCAGTGTTTTTTCTATTGCCCTGAGATGGTGCCATGCTGATGAACTCGTGCTGCTGCTGTCCCCGGCACCAGGGGGATGAGGAGGGGCTCTTGGGTTCCCAGCCCAGGCTTGGCTCTGCCTGCAGCCACCCTGGGGCGGGAGAGATGCACTTGCTAACTAAAACCTTTATATCCCATATAAAATGTTATCCCAGCTATCATGCCTGAGGCGGTCGTTTCCTCTCTGTGCATTTTCCTTTGGTAGAGGAGAGTACTTTGCAAAGTGAAAACCCAGTTTTGCAACCTGACAAGCAGCTCCCAAAGGGTTCCACACTGGCTGCCAAACAGCAGGACTGCGGGGTTGGGGGTTGGGGGGTCCCCTGAGCTCCCCCTGAGCTTTGTTTATGGCTCCTCTGTGCGAGCGCAGCAGCTGCTGCCCCATCAATCACAGCTCAGCGTGTCTGGGTGCAGGCAGCGCCACGTGGCTGCGGGGGGAAAAGCCTGTGGGGGGGATGTGGTGTGTGATGGGTCACTGTGCACCTGGTGCTGGCTGAGGAGGAGGTCTTGATGATTGTCAGCAGTAAGAGAGCAGCATTGAAAGGACGTACCGACCACAGCAGAACAGGGGAAAGGGCCGAATCCTTGCACTTGACTCCGCTATTAGCTTGCAGCAGCCAGAGCAGATGAGATGTCTTGATGGAAGCATAAATCAGTGAGCGATCCCTGCTGGGCTGCAGGCAGCAGTGTGAGTTTGTAGCCCTGCTCCCGTGAACGGGGGGGGCTGATTCCAGCTTTGGATGTGTGAGATGATGGGGGCACATCCCGCTTGGGTCTGGGGTGAGTGGGATGGTGGTGCTTGGCTCAGGGGTGAGGCTCAGGTCTGGCAGCTCCCAGCTGTTTCCGGAATGGCCAACGAGGTATCTTAGCAACGTGGGGAATTTTCCTCTTTTTAGATCCCATCTGGTTTTTAGCAGCTTGGCTGCTCAGCATCGCTGTGGTGTGGGCCGGGCTGGGCCAGGGGGCACTGCTGGCTCCTGCCAACATCCTGCACTCACCATCCCCACGGTCGCTTTCCCCGCAGGGTGCAGGTGGAGTTCTACGTCAATGAGAACACCTTCAAGGAGCGCCTGAAGCTCTTCTTCATCAAAAACCAGCGATCGAGTGAGTGCTCTCTGCCCACGCAGTGCTGGGGGTATGGAGCCATTGCCATCTGCTGGCAGTTGTCCCCAGCTGTCCCCAGGATGTGCCATCCCTGGGTCCTGTCCCTGTGCAGAGCTCTCAGCCCGCTTTGCCTTTGGCTCTGCAGATCAGCCGCCCGTTGCCCAGCGTTGCTGGGAGCTATTTTCTCATTAGCTGCCTGGGGGGAGCCCACTCGTTAATTCAGAAGTGTGTGTTCCCTTCCCTCCCTGCATCCCGTTGCCTTGTTCAGCGGAGCGGGGCACAGCGGGGTGCCCTCAGGGAAGTTTTTAATGGAAATGCGATTAATTCCTCGCTTGTAATCTGAGTAATAATGCAATGCTGGGGAGGAGGCAGCCCCCCTGCTCAGCCTCCACTGCTGGCTGCCAAGATAGAGCTTTACTGGTGCTGCTCAGGATGGGGGGGCATGGAGCCCACGGGTGCTCTGGGGATGGCAGTGCAGGCAGTGCCCCATGCGGCACCCCATGGAGATGTCCCTTCTCCTCTGTACCCGTGGGGCCATGTCCATGCTGTGCCACCTCCACTGCAGGTCTGAGGATCCGACTCTTCAACTTCTCCCTGAAGCTGCTCACCTGCCTGCTTTACATCGTGCGCGTGCTGCTTGACAACCCGGAGGAGGGCATAGGATGGTGAGTGCCACCCTGCCACCGCAGCCCCCAGAGCCCGGGCAGTGTGGGGCAATCACAGTGGGTACTCAAACACCTTCACAGCACAGTGGGTGGTTTTTGTCACTCCAGCTTCTCCTGCCCTACACCAACAGGTGGTTTAGCAACAACCGTCACTGCTTGTAGACCTGGTGCAATGGGCAATGGCAGTGGAAAAATGCGGGGCTGTGGTCATCTTTAAATGTGACCTCGATTTTGTGAGAGAGGCGACAGGGACGTGTGAAGGAGTGCCATCCTAAGGGCTGTGGGTGAGCTCCTAAGGGCTGCAGGGCCACATCCCACCTGGGCTGCGTGGCCAGGTGTGAACCCTGACTTCAGCACAGCGCCCACTAAATGCTGTCCCAGTGTCCTTGAAGACACTTCTGCTAAATCCTATTGAAGTGTCTGGGAGGCAAATGCATTTTTCCATTAGATCCCCGGGGTGACAGATAATCACACGCAGCAGCTTCGCTCTGGGTTTGTTATAAACCTATTTTTATTGTGTCCTTGCTTTGTTTATGTCACGCACAGATATTTATTTTTTTCAGAGTTAGGACACTCTGTGCGAATTAGCAGCTGAATTTTCTCTTTGTAAAGGTTCCAGACACGTTGCCCCCAAAGTGTTTCCCAACCAGCCGAGTGTGAGCTGCTGGTAGGAGGGTTAAGGTCCTCCAGAAAGCACAGGGATGAGGGGACCAGCGAGTCCAAACCCATGGAACATTGTGTTAGGGCCTCTCCTCGTGCCAGGACAGATGGGAGATAGTGTCCCATGAGCTGGAGAGCCAGACCCACACCCCCTATCCATCCCTCTGTCCCTCTGCTGTCCCACTGACTGCTCTCCCTTGGCTTCTGTGTCTTTTGCCCAGCTGGGAATGCGAGAAGCAGAACTACACCCTCTTCAATCAGTCCACCAAGATCAACTGGTGAGCAGTGGGAGGCTCTTAGTGTGGGGCCCAGCTCTGCCCTGGGTGGGGTAATGGGCACAGAGCACTCAGTGGTGAACTGGAGCTGCTGGGTGGGATGGGAGCTGGGCTGGTATCCTGCAGGTGTTTATGGGGATGTGCATCCACTTGCCCCACTTTTGCATGGTTTGAGAACTACAGTTGTCCCATCACTGCCCCTTGAGGTGTGGGATGAGCCAAAAAGAGACCTTCCCAGCCCCAGCCTTTGTTTTGTGAGGCTCCCATCCACCTCTGTGAGCACTGGGGATGGTTGGAGCCTGTTTCAGGCTTTGCATGGGGCAATTCCAGAAGCAACTCTGGCATGGAAGAGACATCAGAGGTGGACTCAGTCTGGTGGTCAGCAGAAAGAGAGGAAGTGCTGTTGTTTGGATCCTCATGGGATGTTCTTTGCAGGTCACACATCTTCTGGGTGGACAGAAAGCTGCCACTGTGGGCTGTCCAGGTGAGCAGTGGGCTGTGTGAGGCTGGGCAGCAGCTCCTGGGGCAGCCACACGCCTGCCTTAAGCAGGTGCAGGGAATCTAATTGAGGTTTTAGTGCACAAAAGCCACAGGTGCTGGTGCAGAGTCCTGAGCAGCTCTCCTCATCTGTGCCCACAGGTCAGCATTGCCCTGATCAGCTTTCTGGAGACCATGCTGCTCATCTATCTCAGCTACAAGGTGCGCTCCCCTGCCCCGTGCCCCAGGGGCAAACAGAGGTCTGTGCCCATTGCTACCCTCAGTCCTTGCGCCGGGTATTGCTGTCCCCAATTTCACCACCCCCCACTGATTGAGGTGCTTGGGAAGGAATAACTTGGGAAGTTTTGTTGCCAGCATCACATCTCAACCCATCAGAAAAGCATAGCATCGCTCTGGCTGTGCTGCATCTTTCCCTGTGTAGTAGGGCTGGGGCACTGGGAGCATGTAATTGGCTTTTGGCACACTTTCAAGCTTTTTAATTAATTATTCTTACTTTTAATTTTTCAGGGGAACATCTGGGAGCAGATTTTCCGCATTTCTTTCATCCTTGAGATGATCAACACAGTGCCCTTCATTATCACAGTACGTGTTCCTCAGCCTCATGTTAAAGCAGCTTTAAGTTTAATACTGTGCTGCAGTTTTGGTGGGGAAATAAGGAAAGCCACCCGATATCTGGCTAAGTGGTACTTAAAGCTGATTTTGTTTTTGGTAAAGAACCCTGATTTTTCTGAGTCCTTTACCAGTCAACTTCCTTTTGTAGATATTTTGGCCTCCCCTGCGGAATTTGTTCATTCCTGTCTTTCTGAACTGCTGGCTTGCCAAGTATGCCTTGGAGAACATGATAGTAAGTGATGCATCCCTATGGGCATCCCATCTCCTCTGCTCGAGCAACAAATTGTGCCTGAGCCCTGGCAGAGAGCGCCGTCCCACCCCCAGGGAGTGGATTGCCAGCAGCATGTCAGGCACTGGAATGGAGCCTGAAGGGCTGAAGCTCGACTGCGCTGTGGTTGGACACAGCCTTCCTCACCACACCTTTGTCCTCCCCCAGAATGACCTGCACCGTGCCATCCAGAGGACACAGTCTGCCATGTTCAACCAGGTGCTCATCCTCATCTGCACCCTCCTGTGTCTCGTCTTCACTGGGTGAGTGCCACACCTTGTGCCACCCAACTGCCTCTCTGCCACTGTGCATCCTAACAGCTGGTTTTAGAGGTCGTGGGGCCCTATTAATTAACCAGGCCCTTCGCCCTGTGCTTTGAAACCAGCACCTTCCGTACTGAAGCCCTGCTCCTGGCTTTGCACTGAGCTCTGAATCAGTTTTCCTCATTGGTCTGAATTTGGAGCAAATAATACCAGTTAAATTGCCGAGAGGACAGGAAACTAAGCTTTTGGGCTCACGAGCCTTTGATAATAAAGGCAGTCTTCTCAGATGAGTGGTGAATGCAATTTCTGGGCTCTGAAGGGCTCCTCACCCCAATGCCTCCTGCCTGCTGCAGCTATAGATGCATTTCTTTGATGCTCGTGCTTGGCACAATGACTTTGGAGCCATGACAGCTCATGGCCCCCTGCTTCTCCCTGCAGTACCTGCGGCATCCAGCATTTGGAGAGAGCGGGAGAGAAGCTCTCCCTCTTCAAATCCTTCTACTTTTGCATCGTCACCTTTTCCACTGTGGGCTATGGGGATGTGACACCCAAGATCTGGCCTTCCCAGCTCCTTGTTGTCATCATGATTTGTGTTGCGCTGGTTGTACTGCCGCTGCAGGTGAGAGCGTGGCCATGGAAGAGTGCAGAGCCTGCACTGGGCAGGGTGTTGTCCCCGTGTCCCTGGCACTGTCAGCCACCCAGTGAGGGCACTGAGGGCATTCCCTGGTGCTGGGACACCAGCTCTGCCCTCTGCTTGCAGTTCGAGGAACTCGTCTACTTGTGGATGGAGCGGCAGAAGTCAGGGGGCAACTACAGCCGGCACCGCGCCCAGACAGAGAAGCACGTCGTGCTGTGTGTCAGCTCACTCAAGATTGACCTCCTCATGGACTTCCTCAATGAGTTCTATGCCCACCCAAGACTGCAGGTGAGGGCTGGGTGCACGCCCATATGCGCTCCTTCTACACTTGACCCTCAACACTTGTCCTTCAATGCTTGTCTTTGCTGGGCATGGCGGGGTCACACCACCTGTTTGATCCACCCCATTTTTATGTCCAGGACGTGGCAAGAACCTCGATGGATTTCTCTAGCCGTAAGGATGCCCACGGGGCTGCCTGCCTGCCGAGTGACACGAGCCTCTCTCTTCCAGGACTACTATGTGGTGATCCTCTGCCCCACGGAGATGGACATCCAGGTGCGGCGGGTGCTGCAGATCCCTCTGTGGTCACAGCGGGTGATCTACCTGCAGGGCTCTGCGCTGAAGGACCAGGACCTCATGAGAGCCAAGTGAGCATTGGGGTGGGGGCGGCAGGTGGCCATGGGAAGGGTCTTCCTGCAGCCACCCCACTGTGCTGCTGAATGGGTGACGATGGCCGTCCTGTCCCCTCTATGGGCTGAGTGCTGCATGGACTCTGCTCTCTGCTTCCAGGATGGACAATGGGGAAGCCTGCTTCATTCTCAGCAGCCGGAATGAGGTGGACCGCACGGCGGCGGTGAGCAGCTCATCCCAGGCATGGAAGCGTTGGAGGAAATGAGCTCTCAGAAGATAGCGCATGCTTTCCTCTTTCATTAGGACCACCAAACCATCCTGAGAGCCTGGGCCGTGAAAGATTTTGCCCCAAACTGCCCTCTCTATGTGCAGATCCTAAAGCCAGAGAACAAGTTTCATGTCAAGTTTGCTGGTGAGTCCCCAGGGCTGGCCCCCTCCACAAGGCCTGGTGCTCCCTGCAAGACTCCTGCATCCTCAGGCCCAGCGAGGGGTGCTTTTGGCTCTGTGATGATTGAATGAGTGTCTCATCTCTAGGGCCAGTGGTGGTGGTGATCTGTGTTGAGTACTGCTTGGGTTGGCCACCCCAAAAACCCCTGGCAACGTGAGCAGAGCCGTGAGGCATCCCAGCAGCAGCTTTGTTTCCTTGCAGATCACGTCGTCTGTGAGGAGGAGTGCAAGTACGCCATGCTGGCGCTCAACTGCGTCTGCCCCGCCACCTCCACGCTCATCACGCTGCTGGTGCACACCTCCCGTGGGCAGTGAGTGCTGGGGGGCACAGCCATTCCCCTGGGGATCCTTCCCATGGAACGCCCATCCCCAATTACAGCCCTGGGTTCTCTGGGTTGAGTGGTGCTGGGGCACTGCAGCATCCCTGGGTTGGTTTGCTGGAGGGCAGCAGTACAGCTCCTCATTTGTATCAGACAGATCCTGCTGGCAGGATGCACAGACTGTGCAGAGCCAGAGCCAGCGGGGTGTTCTGTGAGTTTACACAGAGCTCAGTGGGAAGCAGCTCAGTGTGGTGCTGACATGGGCCCTTTGCACCTTGGTGGAGCCAGAAATCATTGAATTTTGGGTGACATGACATCAGAGGGTTACAAAGCTCCATCCCAGAGCGTGTCTCACCGCACGCTTTCAGCTGTTTGCCAACACTGGCTCTCAACGCTGTCTCTGCAGCTCCACCGGGAGCCCTCATTAAATACAAACGCAATTAGAACCAGAAATCAGAAGGAGCTCAGCCCACACCTGCTGAACCCACAGCTCTTCTCGCAGCACCCTGAGGGTTCCTTGAGGCCCTGCGGGCTGCAGACCCATCCCTCCATGCTGCTGTCATTTCAGAGAGGGCCAGGAGTCCCCAGAGCAGTGGCAGAGGATGTACGGGCGCTGCTCGGGCAATGAAGTCTACCACATCCGCATGGGAGACAGCAAGTTCTTCATGGAGTACGAGGGGAAAAGCTTCACCTATGCTGCCTTCCACGCACACAAGAAGTGAGGGCAGGGGTGCAGGGCTGGGGCCAGTGCTTGGAGTGCCTCATGCGGGGAGGAGGCTTTGCTCCAATGCCTGCATGGTGATCCCATCACAGGTACGGTGTCTGCCTGATCGGCATCCGCAGGGAGGAGAACAAGAGCATCCTGCTGAACCCCGGCCCACGGCACATCATGGCCGCGTCTGACACCTGCTTCTACATCAACATCACCAAGGAGGAGAACTCTGCCTTTATCTTCAAGCAGGAGGAGAAGCAGAAGAAGAAAGGCTTTGCAGGCAGGGGCACCTATGATGGCCCTTCCCGCCTGCCCGTGCACAGCATCATCGCCAGCATGGGTGAGTCTGGGGGGCTCCTGCGCATATCGCTCCCACATCCCTGCTCCTGGCATCCTAGCTGCTCTCAGCAAGCCCTGAAACCATCATTAGAGCTTGTGATATCCGTTATCATTTATGATATTTGTCTGCAGAAATCCCTCAAGCCCTGCCTGGAAGGATAAATGCTGTTGGCCGCATCTTAAATCATTTTTATGATTCCCAACCTGACAGGTGGCGTGATTTGCTCTGCAGCGAGCGGTGCATTTTCTCAAATGAAAAATGCCATGAGTCATTACTTCCAGCTTGCAGCTGGGGAGACCAAGTTCTGGGGTTGTCTGGAGAGGCTGCGCTGCGATGGCAGATTGTATTTTAGGCAAATAATTTATGGATATATACTCATGCACAGCTGTTTGTATGATTATCCCACAGCAAGCCACAGAGCACTTTGCTGAGTAGAGCTCATCAAGGTTCTTGTTACGTGGCTTGCTCACAGAGGGACTTTTTGCAAAAAGTGGAACAAGAAGTGAAATGGTGTGAGAAGGTTCAGCAGGTGCAGATCCATGGCTGCAGGAATGTGCCCAGCTCCTGTGCTGTGCTCACTGGGAAACTGATAGCTTTCATAGGCAAAGATAATGGGTGAAGATTCAGATGAAAGCTTCAGGTTGGGTTTCCAACTGAGAGCAAAGACTCGATGGCCTCGGTCAACACTCTGTAAATACGTTTGGATTTTAGAAGGCGCTGGTGGTGGATGGGGTCCCAGCGGGGCTCAGGGGTGCCATGCTCTGTCGGCTCTGCTCCCTTCCCCTCCTTATAGAGCGCTGTGCTTCCCCCCACTGCGTCCAGGTACAGTGGCCATGGACCTGCAGAACACTGAGTGCCGCCCCACCAACAGCAGCAAGCTGGCGCTGCCGGCAGAGAACGGCTCAGGCAACCGCCGGCCCAGCATCGCACCCGTGCTCGAGCTGGCTGACACCTCATCCCTGCTGCCCTGCGACCTGCTCAGCGACCAGTCGGAGGATGAGATGACACAGTCAGACGAGGAGGGCTCAGCGGTGGTGGAGTGAGTCGCACACGTTCGGTCACTGCAGAGGCACAGCTCCTCGCAGGTGATGGGGCCGTTGCAGATGGCTTTCTCCACGTCATTACAGCGCTGGGATTTCCCTCTGCTGCAGGTACGTGAAGGGCTACCCACCCAATTCCCCATACATCGGCAGCTCACCAACCCTGTGCCACCTCCTGCCTGAGAAAGCCCCGTTCTGCTGCCTGCGGCTGGACAAGGTGAGCAGTGTGCTGCCCAGGGCTGTGCTGGAAGGGGCCGGGCACTGCCACGGGTCCCAGCTGCCTCCCTCCCACAGGGCTGCAAGCACAACAGCTTTGAAGACGCCAAGGCCTATGGCTTTAAGAACAAGTTGATCATCGTGTCAGCAGAGACCGCTGGCAATGGGCTGTATAACTTCATCGTCCCGCTGCGTGCCTACTATCGGTCTCGCAAAGAGTTGAACCCCATTGTGTTGCTTCTGGACAACAAGCAAGTACTTCTCTGCTGTGCTTTCTCTTGCACCGAGCCCTTCCCTGTGTTACCATGGGCACTGCACATGGCATGGGGCAGGAGCACGACAGTCTTGGGCTGTGCGTCACCTTGTTTGTTGGGTTTCTGAACGCTGTTCCTTTCTGTTGCTCTTCTTGCAGACCAGAGCACCACTTTCTGGAAGCCATCTGTTGTTTCCCCATGGTTTACTACATGGAAGGCACCATTGACAAGTAGGTGTTCTGGTCTGTGGCTGTTGTTAATTATAGGATGGTCTTAGACATGTTGCATTCACCCCAATCCGCAACCCCATACCTTCTCATTCCATGGGGAGACAAGGGCTGGCCATGGCAGCCCCCACTGTCGGCTTCTCACCTTGTTGAGTCCATCTGGGAGATGGGTGTTGGTGCTGGGCTGGTGGCCAGGAGCAGCTGGGCTGGCTGCAGCGCTGTGCATGGCAGCGTGCTGCTTCCCCATGTCGTTTCCAAGGGCTGACCCCTGCGCTCTTCTCTTTGGGAACTGCCCAGCCTGGACAGCCTGCTGCAGTGCGGCATCATCTACGCTGACAACCTGGTGGTTGTGGACAAGGAGAGCACCATGAGTGCTGAGGAGGATTACATGGCGGATGCAAAGACGATTGTCAACGTCCAGACCATGTTCAGGTGAAGAGGGCTGGCAGTCCTATCCCATCATCTTCTCACTCAACCTGCCCCATCTATCCCATTCCCTCCCATCCTATTCCATCCCATCCCTCTTCTGGGTGCTGCCTCAGCAGGAAGTGAGCCCAAGAGCTCATAGGTGCTGTGAGCTGCTAGGATGACACCTAGGTTCCGCTAATTCTGGTCTTGGATGGGCGCAGGGGAATCTTTTGTGTTCCTCAAGCTTTAAATGCAGGGATTCCTCCCTTCCAAGCTGGCTGATGAACAACATGTCTCTTCCCACTGCAGGCTCTTTCCCAGCCTCAGCATCATCACAGAGCTGACCCATCCCTCCAACATGAGGTTCATGCAGTTTAGAGCAAAGGACAGCTACTCCTTAGCCCTTTCCAAGCTAGAGAAGGTAAGTGAAAGCTTTGCTTTCTGGGAATTCGGTGCTGGGAGTCACTGATCCTGAGTTTGTTGCGTTCCTGTGCTCCTCCACCCGCTGCACTGTGCATCCATCCAACATAACCTGCAGCAAACAAATGTGTGGGTGGGTGATTTTGGGGCCGTCTGCCTCTTCCTATGTGTTTATGTGTTTCTTGGCGGCTGGAGGTTGTGCTGCTTTGCCTGCTGCTGTGTTGGGAGCGGGGCAGTGAGTGAACGGGTGCAGGGATGCTCCAAGGAGGAGGCCGCTGGGCGCAGCGCTGTGCCTGCAGCAGTGTCGCTGTGCTGAGATCTCCTGAAAAGAGCAAACATCCCCAAGGCAGCAAGGCACATGGAAGCACCACATCCAGCCCGTAGCAAAATAAATCCATGATGTCTCGCACGTTTCCATGGAGAAAAAAAAATACTTCTTTCACCACAAAACCCTCTTTCCCTGCCTCCCTCCTGGCATGCCCAGCAGAGATGCTCAGCTGCTGTCCTCCCGCTCAGGTGAGCTTTCAAGGCCGCGTGGATTGTCTTTCCTCTTCCAGAAAGAGCGTGAGAATGGTTCCAACCTGGCCTTCATGTTCCGCCTGCCCTTCGCTGCGGGGAGGGTCTTCAGTATCAGCATGCTGGACACGCTGCTCTACCAGGTGGGGGGGGCTCTGGGGGCACGGCTGCCTGCTGGCACGTACCGGGGTTGACATTTCCTCCCCTCCTGCAGTCGTTTGTCAAGGACTACATGATCACCATCACCCGGCTGCTGTTGGGCCTTGACACTACACCGGGCTCTGGCTACCTCTGTGCGGTAGGTGCTGCTGCAGGGCATGTGCATGGGGGCTGCGGGATGTGAGGCTCTCTGAGAGAGGCAAAATGGAGCAGAACGGGGCAGAACATTGCTCTCTGTATCATACATGGGCAACCTCAGCACTGCCAAGAGCACTAATGTTATAAAATCACTGAGTCTTTTTGGTTGGAAAAGACCCTTAAGGTCGTCAAGTCCAACTCTTGGCCAACGCTGCCACGTCCACCACTCAGCCGTATCCCTCAGCGCTACACCCACAAGTCCTGCTCCTGGTCTGTTTGTGGCTCTCTGGGGTTGGCATTGGTGCATTTGGGCACTGTTCTGGTTCTGAAGGCAGTTGCTGTTCATCCCCAGATGAAGATCACAGAGGACGACCTGTGGATCCGCACCTACGGGCGCCTCTTCCAGAAGCTCTGCTCCTCCAGTGCTGAGATCCCCATCGGCATTTACCGGACGGAGTCGCACATGTTCGCCACCTCCGAGGCAAGGGGCAGCACATGTGGGAAGGGCAGCAGCATTCCTGTCCCAACCCACAGCCGGGGGGCTCCTGTCTGTCTGTGAGCACAGTGCAAATGCTCAGCCCTCAGTGAGCAGCGCTGGCAGGCGATGCAGCACTGAGCGGTTGTTGAATTACCAGGGGATGCTGCACAGCAAGGATGCTCATTTCCTGGCTGACACTTTTTCCCCTTTTTCTTCCCCCAAATGCAGCCCCATGACATCAGAGCACAGGTGAGTAATGCTTGCACCCAGACCTGGGATTATCGGTTCTGCTGCCGGCCCCTGCAGTGCACATGTGGGCGGTGTCAGGGATGGTTTTCCTCAGGCGAGATGTCCCCCACAGCACCAGCAAACAGCCAGAAGGTGTAATTACTGGGAGAGGGAGCAGGATCCGGGCTCCGCTGTGAATATCTTTGGTTTTCAGCTTTGTGGAGGCAGCTGCAGGGTGCTGAAAGCTGACATTTAGCTCAGTGCAATCCCCATTCATCCTTAGAGGTGCTTTATCCCCTTTATTAATAAATCAGTGCTTACCAGCTGAGCTCTCTGTAGCAGAGGTGCGGCAGCAGGTCTGCTGCGATGTGCCAGTGAGGAAGGTGAGGGCAGGAGGGAACGGCGCTGATGGAGATGAGGTGCCTGCTGCACCCTATGGCTGCTGGCATTCTGGAGCCCCCATCCCAGAGCTGCTGCCCAGGTGCTTTAGCAGCACGGGGACGCTGTGCTGGCAGTGCACGGCTAAGAGATGGGACCCCGTCCCAGAGCAACTCCCGTTAGGTGGCCCCGCGGTCCCCGTCACCGGCCGGGCTTCCAGTCACAGATCTCCATCAACGTGGAGGACTGCGAGGATACGAAGGATGTGAAGGAGCACTGGGGCATCAAGACGGGCCACCACAGGAACTCGTGCTCCAGTGACCAGTCCGAGCACCCGCTGCTGCGGCGCAAGAGCATGCAGTGGGCACGCCGGCTGAGCAGGAAGGGCAACAAGCACTCCGGCAAGACCGCCGAGTGGATCAGCCAGCAGCGGCTCAGCCTGTACCGCCGCTCCGAGCGGCAGGAGCTGTCCGAGCTCGTCAAGAACCGCATGAAGCACCTGGGCTTGCCAACCACCGGCTATGGTAAGTGATGTGCGGTCGTGCTTCCCTGCGGCGAGGCGGCCCCGTGGGCTCCGCAGGTAAATCCCCATTCGTTGTGCCCAAGCCCTGCAGGTGCTGCTGGACCCGTCTGTGGATGCTGCACAGCAATGCGGTGCACATCGCTCCCGGGGTGGCTGCTGTGGGGTCCGTGCCTCCAGGAGCTGTGCCTGTGATGCGTGGGCTGCCTTGAGCACACAGGGCCAGCTAATCATAGAGCAATAGAATGGTTGGGTTGGAAGGGACCTCTGAAATCATCCAGTTCCAACCTCCTGCCATGGGCCCCGGGTTGGCTCTGTTGTGGGTCAGCTCATCCAAATCATGATGCTGTGCCCCGCCGTTCTGCAGGGCTGGTGCTGCAGCTCCGCGCTGTCACCGCGCTGTATCTCAGGAGCATCTGGCAGGGCTGGGCAGGCTTGGTGGTGTGCGATGGCCGCGTGTGTCACTGTGCTTCCTGCTGACCCACATCTTTCTGGTGGGGACCGCAGCCCCGTGCTGGTGCCGGAGTCTGTGTGCCCGCACCTGCCCCGTGGTTGCGGTGAAGTCCTTCGCACATGGCTTTCTTGGTTCGTTTTGTCTTTCTGCCCTGTGAGCCATCCCGTGCTGCCTCCTGTCTACTCCATGCCAGACCCCTTCCATCACCGCAGCCGGGCCCTGAGCACCGAGCACTGAGCCCAGCTGGGGTTTTGCTGCCTGCAGCTGGGAGAGTGGGGGAAATACGGATCGATGCGGGGAAACAGAGGGCACACAGGAGTGCTGGGGCCACGTAGCAGCCGCTCCATGGAGGGGAAGGTGGGGACAGCATTGCTGGTTCAGCTGCACACTTGGCACTGCGGCCTGCAGGTGATGCAGCACTGAGATCTGGTTTAGGGAACCTGCTTTGGCAGCGGGGTTGGTCTCGATGATCTCTAGAGGTCCCTTCCAACCCCTACAATTCTGTGATTCTGTGAGACTGAGCTCTTTGTCCCTTCTCCCAAAAGTTTCCTTGGCTCATGCTGAGGGACGCAGCTCTCTTAGCTCTGTATCACTCTGCTGATGACAGTCGGTGCTGCCATGCTGGTACAGCTGGTCTGCTCAGTGCAGCTCTGGGGCTCCGGCTGGGACGTGCGTGGGCACCGGGGCACGGCTGGCATCGGTGTGCTTGGTGGTTGGAAGGACACTGACTGCCTGCTCTCCTTGCCTTTATCTTTTGCTCCTTTATTGCCAAAGTGCAGCAGCTCGTCTCTAATATTTGCCAAATCATGGCTTGCTGACCTCTCTCTCTCTTTCTGTTTATGTCTGTGCCTTTCCCTGTATGTTCTGTAGAGGATGTAGCAAATTTAACAGCCAGTGATGTGATGAATCGGGTAAACCTGGGATATTTGCAAGGTAATGCTCACTCCCTGGGAGTCACGCGTGCCTCACGGCGTGCAGCGTACAACAAGATCATGCCAGCTGAGCCCAATCCACACCCTTGCCAGTTTTCACCTCAGATACTCAATCCTTTCACACTCCTTTGTTGGGTGGAGCTGGAAAACAAAAGGCACTGCACTGCAGCTGCAGGGCTCCCTGATGGCAGGAGAGAAAATGCAGGGACCCTTTGGAACCAGTGCGAGGAAATCACATCCCTCAGCTGTTACTGATAGTGACCTCCTTGCATTGCTCTGTAGGTTGACTTTGGCCTGCAAAGCCTGGAGCAGTTCAAGGAGGAGGTTTCTGTCTGCTGCTGCTGAGCAAAGCAGTGCGGGAAGGCATCGTTTGCAGCTTTGTCCCCGGTTGGTTTGGGGTGCAGACCCGCCTGTCCCTGCAGTCACCCCCAGACCCTGGGGAGATGCTCAGGGTGAAGGGACTCAGCACCCAGTGCTCAGCGCGCAGCTTCATGCAGAGGGGCTCTGGAGAGCCCAGGGGCAGCTGTGGCCTTGCTGGGCTGTGGTTCAGGCTTTGCCAGCCCATGCTTAAGGCGAAAAGTTGGCATTTTCCTACAAACCATGTCCAGCCTCAGAGCCCCAGCCCAGCTGTGGCTCATGGAAGCCCTACACAATATATTGCCAGCAACTGCCAGGGCTGCGCAGAGCTCAGGGATGGTGTTCCCCCCCCCCCTTGGTTGTGTTCTGGCACAGCTGTGAGCCACCCCACCAGTGCCCTTCTGCAGTGTGAGCACCACGGTGTAGGTGCAGGAGCTCTGGCTCCCCTCCCCCCAAAATTACATGGGGGTGCCAGTGGGGACAAGATGATGGCAATACACGTGGTGGGTTCAGCAGTGCTGCATGGGGGTCAGGAAAAGGTGCTTCCATGGTGAAGGAGAACCTGTGTGCCCCAGGAACCCCCCCTCCATTACGGCACATCCCATGCATCCCTGGCTCTGTGTGCACCCCAGCACTGCCACCCCCATCCCCGCTGCACTGTAGGGCTGAGCACTGGGACGGCTGAGAGCTGTCAGCCCTGTGGTCTGGGGAGCAAGCAGGGGGTGAGCAGCAAAAAGCCAATGGGCAGGAAAGAGGAGGGGTCTGCGTGCAGACCTGCCCTGTGTTCCCCATCTTCTCATTGCACGGGAGGGGCCATGCACTGTTGGCGTCCCAGTGCACAACCCTGCAGCAAGCCCATGTCTGTCTGTCCCCTGCTGTCTGTCCCCTGTCCTGTCCATCACATGCCCTCGCTGTGCTCCCGCTGCTGCTTGTTCCCAGCACCTGCTTCCCCCCATGATCTTGTTTGGCAGCGAAGGGCCCCGAGTGTCCCGGTGCTCCGTTGGGCATCACCGCAGCTCCACGATTCAGAGCCGTTCCTGAGTGGTGCTGGGGGCTCTGGGATGCCGCAGTGATGTCCTGCAGGCAGAAGGGCATGGTGCCTCGGCCACGTGCTGCTTGGTGCTCATAGGTGCAACAAGGGAAGAAGGTGGCAAAGCGTGGTCACAGCCCTGGGGGGGTTTGTCTGCCCTGACCCGGTGCTCGTTGTGCTGTACTTAATGCAGCAAGACTAACGTGTTTCGTTTTTTGTGCTCAAACAAGGTAAGACTTTTTTTTTTTCCTCATTTCTTTTTGGAGGTTGATTTTTGAAGTGAAAAGTCTGTGAGGCTCCAGCCTGTGCCGTGGCTGGGAGCGGCTGCGGGGCTGCGGGAGGAGGCGGTGGTGCTCTCAGTGGCACGGCCATGCTAAAGGACCCGGTGCTGTCCTCAGGGGCCAGCTGTGACCTTACCCAGCCTGATGCTTGGAGCTCTGCAGTGGGGCTGCCAGGGCATCCGCTGGGCTGCCCGTTGGGGTGTCCATGGGAGCCCCCATTGGGGCATCCATCAGGGTGTCCATCAGGGTGTCCGTCAGGGCGCTCCGCCAGCCCTGCCCACCATCCCCTTCTCTCCTCCGGCAGATGAGATGAACGACCACCAGAACACTTTGTCCTATGTCCTGATCAACCCACCCCCAGACACACGGCTGGAGCTGAACGACATCGTGTACGTGTTGCCCCCTCCTCCCCGCACAACTCCCAATCCCACCCCAAACCCAGGATTCCCAGCCTTGGTGCAGGCACACTGCACACTCCACGCCCCGCTCTGTGCCCCGCAGGTACCTGATCCGCTCCGACCCGCTGGCACACGTGGCCAACGATGGGCACAGCCGCAAGAGCAGCTGCAGCAACAAGCTGGGCCCCTGCAACCCCGAGACGCGGGATGAAACCCAGCTCTGAGCACAACCCGTGTGCTGCGGGGACAAAAGCGATGGGACAGGCGGGCAGGCGGCCGGCCAGAGGCACCACGTGGGAGTTTTTAACCTTTTATACCAATACCGCAACTAGTGAGAAAGTCTTTGCTGGTGCTGGTGGTGAGACTGGAGCTACAGCTCGGCCCGTTTGGGGGGCCCGTGTTCAGAATTGTCCCCAAATGATGCAGGCCGTTCGCATTGGATGGGGGCACTGCTGAGCCAAGGGCGGCCGCTCATCCTGCTCCTCTTTGCTGGGTCTGGGATGGATAGCCCAAATTTGGCTCTTTTACCCCAATGCTCTCCTTGCTTGTTGGCTTGTCCTGGGGGCTGCGCGGAGACAGTGGGGAAGGAAAGGACAGTGCAGCCCTTCCAGCACCCAAGCAACATCTGCAAATCCCCAAACACACCAAAAAGACAACAGTGGGACCCAAAGCCGTGCAGCACTGCTCTTGTTGCACACATCCTGGCTATGGGGATGCTGGCACCCAGTGGGGCTCAGCAGCAAAGGCACCGCTGGCTCCATGTGGTGCTGGCCTGGCCAAGGCCCCGTGCTGCCATGGATTTGCACTGGCAGCCCAACCCGACCCCCGGCTGCTTGCAGCACAACGGCAGTGGAGACCTTTCTATAGCAGGAACACAAGACGTATTTTCCATCTATTTTTGCACACTTTGCAATGGCGACGTCTAAAGGTTTTTTTGTTGTTGTTTTTTTTTTCTTTGACTGCCAAGTGAATAACCAAGTTGTTAACTTTATATACTTTTACATTCATCTACTAAAACCTCAATGTGATTTTTTTTTTTATGTATTTTTTTTTAAACAAGAAGCCTGTAAAGCACAACACAGCCCTGCCCTCCCAGCGCCGCTGCCAGGAAGGGGTTCTGCCATTCCCATCCGCCTCCCCTTCCCCCACGACACACAATAAATGTTGTTTACAAAAACCTGCTTAAAATCATGGCACCCCACGAAGGCGCTGAGCTCCGTGCTGCCTGAGAAGGGAGGAAAACCCACAAACCCACCCAGCCAAAGCTCTGTGGGCTGAGAATTGGACGGTGCCTGGGCTGGCCTTGCTTCTAACGCCTATGGTTTCTGCTGCTTTGCAGCCTAGCATTGCCATCTGGCACTCAGTGGGCAGTGCAGGTGGAAATACCCAGCCCCCAGCTGAGCCCTCGGCTGCCCTGAGATGTGGGCCCAACCGAACCATCACCCAATGCTCTGTTTGATATCATTTGTTTCGCTTTTAACGATGCGTTGTTTTTTTTACATCTCGCTGGCTGCGGCAGCTCTGCGTTTTATTTATTCCTGCTCTTCAGTTGTTGTGCCAAAAAAATTAAGTAGTTCCCACAGGATAAACAGTGAGAGCAGCTGCAGCACAAAGCCAAGGGGGTTGAGCCATGTCTGACCCCACAGCGCTCCGTCCCTCCGCTGTCGGTGCACACAACCAAGCCCAGAGCTGAAGGTTTTGCATCCCATTCACCTCTAAGGGAGGGGGAAACAAAGCAGCACTGCATCCCAACCCGGTGAGGGGGCTGAGGTCATGGCTTCGGACTCAGTGATCCTTACAGACCCCTTTGAGCTCGGGATATTCCACAGTTACCCCATGCTGACCATTCAGAAGGGAACATTTTCATCTCTTTCCCTACAGTTGGCTGCTCTGCGTGCCTGGGGGCAGCCCACCGCCCCACAGCACCCCAGGCACTGCAAGAGCATCCCTCGCCCTCACTGCATTCCACTGCCACTTCTGTTTGGTTAATGTGCAAAGCTGTGTATTTAAGAAGAAAGAAGCTACAGGTGTATAAATCACACACCTTTTTTTTTTTGCAGACATTATTTCTACGGTGTAAATTTATAGCTGACATTCTAATGGGATGTTGAAAGAGAAGAAATATACTGTAGATATTTACCTGTGGTCAATGCAAGCCTAAGAACAAGTGTTCAGTTTTTCTAAATCCTCAGACTCGGTTACAACACAGATGTAAAAATGAGAACATTTTATTTTTGTAACGGTTGTGGCATCAACAGAAGCTGCTGCTGCTCGCCCAGGGCCGTCTAGGAAAGGTGGGCGCCGCGTTGAGGCCATGCAGGAGCAGATGGAGGGATGTGCTGCACTGACTGCTTCACCCCAACAGCTCCAGTACAGCCCCGATGCACAGCAGTATTTATTTCAGGTCGCTCTCATTTGGTTTTATTTCCCCCACCCCCCTTTTCCCAATGAAATCCAATGGTTTCACCACCAGCACTGAGTGGCACAGCTCCGGCTCTCAGCTGGCTCAAAGCTCAGCACTTTGCCCAGTGGGGAAGCAGCACCCCCCAGTCCCAGAGGGGATGCACACAGATGGCACTGCTGGCCCAGGGACGCCTCCTCTTCCCCCTTAGCTCCCCCCCTTTGGGGCAGAACACAGCGCTGGGGCTCCCAGAGCAACAAAACGCCCTTAGAAAAAACAGGATTCTATAAAGGATGCAGAGCTGAAAGGCCCTGAGGAATGCAGACACGCGAGAGAGGGCTGCAGCAGTTCCAGGTTTACTGGCATTGGGTTCTGTGGCACTAACAGCTCCATCCTCTGAACAGGGACCACATCCCCACGCCACATCACACATTGCAGCCCTACTGAGTATTCACACAGCCATCCCCAGTTTTACCCCTCCCTCTGAACTCAGCCTTTTTACTTCCCAAGGGGGAACTGCTCTCCAGGTCAGCTCTGCGTGGGCTCCATCAGCCACAGCCAACAGAAAACGCATCCTTCCCTCTCCGAGGCCTCATTTTGGGACATGTGTTCTTGGGGTGCACTACAGACAGCCAACAGGAGATGTTTTTGTACGATTCCAGTGAAGTTGTTTCACATTTCTGTAAAGAGAAATCGAAATAAAAGAGCTGCATGCAGCAACAACAGAGACTGCTGTCTGCCTGGTGGCTGCAGCGTCCTGGGGGGGCTCTGAGTGGGAGCACAGAGCTTCTGCCAGCTGCCAGTAAGGCTGGTGCAATTACTTTGTTTTCCACAACAGCTTCATGCTGTGTTACACAGCCCATGCCAATGCTGGTGCTCAGCAGGGGCTCGGGGCAGACTGCCCCCACCCTGCATTGCTCCTGGGGCTGCGCTGCAAATTCAGTATTTAAACTATTTAACGTTAAATAGTTAGTATTGAATAATAGTTAATAGTTGAATAGTGAAATAAATCCCTCCTGCGCTCTGGCAAAGCGCTTGCTTTGCTCACAGGCATTGCACGAGGCAGGCAGCCCCCAGGAAGGCAGGCACAGCCCCTGGGTTCACCGTGGGTCTGTTATTGGCAGCCCTCATTTGAGCCACTGATCCTATTCCAACTTTGAGTCATTTCTGTCTGCACTCTGAAGAACTGACAGCAACATTCGGAACGATGCGCGGACTGAAAGAAGAGCAGCATTTAAGTAAGAAATCCTTTCAGTTCAGTTGACCTTCATCCAGAAGGGAAGCTCCATTTCCTTTGTGTGGAGAGCACAGCTCCAACAGCATCACCTCTTTGGATGCCTTCACGCTACGGCCTGCAGCAGTCAGACTGTGTACAACAGAACAGAAGACACATCCATGCATCTGTTACTCCTTCACACCATCACTTCAGTCCTCTTTAAACTCCAATGCACCGCCTGGAACAGAAGGGTGAAAGCACTCCTTGTGTGCCCAAACACACCTGCCAACTCAGAACCACAGCTGAGAGATTCCACTTGCAGTTATCTGGTATCAGTGATGCACTCAAGCCATTACCATTATTTCCTACTTTCTTCCATGAGCCACAGCCCAGTGTCTGCATGGTGGCCCGGGTTTCATCACAAACACTGAGCTATGGCACAAGTGAGGTACTCACATTTTGTTCAGCTATACTTGCACTTCACCAAAGCAGAATCCCATCCCACCCCAAGGTTCTGAGACCTGTCTGAGAGCCTGCAGGATCTCCTGGGCTTTGTCACATCTGTGCTCCTCGGTGCCGTGAGCGCAGCTCAACTGAAGCTGTGATCAGAACTGCATCCACAGAGAATTCGGGCACGCTGCAATAAACGTGTAACAAGAACTGCAGAGGTCAACTGGACAGCCACACACCTCTAACTACTTCAAGCTGTCCTGCAGAGCCCTTATGCAGCAGTTTTCACTGTAGCACTTCACAGCTGGGAAGATGGTAAGCCAGGGGAGGTGCTGCTGGATGGATGGGCACCAGGGCCCAGCAGCACCAACTTCAGAGTGAAGACATAACTGAGTGTTCTGACACTGCTGTGTCAGCTCTGAAGACCTGTGGGGAAAACGACCAAAACCAAAGGAAAATTCAGGGTCTTGAGAACTCACTCACATCTCTCTGCCTTTCCTTTGTCCCCAAACCATCTGTCACAGCCACAGCTCCCAGAAGATGCCTGTTTGCACACTGCTGCCTTTCTCATGTAGCAACGTCGCGTGGTTTTGTGCCCTCAGCTCTCCCACAAGTGCAGCACACAGCCCTGAGCTGCACTCGGGTTTTCAGAACGCCTCAGTTGTTCAAACTTGGCTACTTCTTGTCTGAACCACAGCATGGTGAAAATGAGACAAAGACACATTAACTACAAAAGCAAAACAGTATGGGCAAACACACAACGCAGTGATGTATGAAAGCTTCAGAAACTGCGCTTAAAAGCACTTTAAAGATGTACATTCTTGTATTTTATCAAGAAACGAGTAAGAAGTCGACCCAAAAAGGGGACCCACACCAGTGCTGCCCTGTGTGCTCATTGCTTAGGGCACGAGTGCAGCACAGCCTGCAGCCCACTGCCATCGGGCACCACCAGAGCCAATGCCTTCACGTGGCACAACAGGAGCAGCTGCAGGCAGCCCAGGGGAAGGCTGAGCTCAACAGCCAGGCCAGGCAGCAGATTGGTGGCACTGAACCTTTCAGTCCACTCCTTCCTCTGAGCAGCAAGATTTCAGGCTGTAGGAAATAATAGAGGAAACTAAAAATAATGTTGAAAAAAGACACATTAAAACAACCGGCCTCTATGAACAAGGACTGTTCTGCACGACAACCTCTGGGTCAGAAGTATTTCTGAGTTGGAAAAGGCTGCAGCTTTGAGATTTAGATGCTTTTGCAGAGCCAATAGAGGTGCATTATGAGGCTCAATAGTCAATTCATATTTAAATTCCAGAGGTTGGTCCTTACAGGTCACAAGCAAGCTAACAGCCAGCAGCTGTTAGACATTCTATCGATGCTTCTGCCGCTGCCTGAGCACTCGGATCCCAGAAAACCCACTGGCCAGACTCAGGAGTCTGAAGGCTGACAAAATAAATCCTTTAGACGACTGTTAAACAACTTCCCAATTTTCTGAAAGCCTGCTGGTCGAATTGCAGCACGCTTCAACCAAGGTCAGGAGAGTTAAGCTGCAGTCACAAAGATATTGCAGCTGCTGACAGATGAGCGTTCTAGGAGCACAACTGAACAGAATAGCACATCTTTAAAGCACGTTAGTTCTTTGACGGGATGAAGCATCACAACAACAAAAGGTACACGTGAAATAAAAAGGAAATCAGTTAATGATTTTTATTAAATTTCAGTGCTTTCATAAAATAAATATGGTATATAATATCAAACAGTGAGAAATAAAGCACAAGCATGAAAAGCATGGTAACAAAAGTTACACTCATGACGGTGTTTAATACTTAGCACTTTAGAAACCATAAAGCCTTTAATTATTTACAAGCAGCAAACTATCTAACATCATTTACAAAGTTGCAGCAGCCTATCAAGAAGTACTGGAAGGGGACAAAAAGATGGAGAGATCACCATGGAAGACCCTCACTCCACTCTACCTAGTTAGCTCTTCATTACGTACCCTACTTTCCCCTGATGTACATAACTTGTCGTGACTTCCATTACTCTCAACGTTGACTAATTACACTGCATTCTATTGCAGAGCTCAGTTCATCTCTAGGTTGGTGCGGTGCCTCCAGCACTCACAAGGGATGTTTTCAAGTAACACTCCAAAGAAAAGTAAACATGTGCAAACCAAAGTTAGAAAGCGAGGCGCCCCGCAGGCAGTCACCCAGATGGAGCAGGGGCTGCCCAGCAGGCTGAGTCGTGTAGGAGCCACAGAAACCTACTGGGAGGTGCAGCCTGAGCAGACATGGGAGCACCTTAAGAACTGGAACGGAACTGCAAATACACCCTGTCACCACAGAGACAAACGTAACCTGCTGAAACACGAGGATTTTTAAGGTCATGACTCAAGATTTAATATTTCAACATGAAAAGAAATCCAAGCCATTCGACTTTTTTGGGCTTTTGAAACAAATGCAAACATCTCTGTTTAAAAATCGCTCTTAAATGAGAAAAACAAATCAATATATATTAATATATCACCCAAAATAAAAAAAACGTACACACTCTTCATTTTCGAGCATGCTGCTCATTCAGAAGAAAGACAGGACAGAGAAAGTAGAATTACATTTCATGATATAATAAAAACATTAAAATTTGTGATCCTTAAGTGCACCATCGTACAGAGTAGCGTGCTCAGAGTGGACATGTTCTATACCTACCAGAATCCATCTTTATTAAAGCAAACAAATCCTTAGGACACTACCTGAAACTGATAACAACTGTGCTCCGTTCAGCTTGCTTGCCTCAAGTTTCAAGCAGGCACATTCCAGCCAGCAGCACCTGTATGCCTCTTCATGATTGTATTCCACAGATCTTTCCATTTGTGAACAACTTTTAGTCGCTTTTTGTTTGTTTTTAAAAAAGACTGGCTTTTGCAATGCTTATTCCAAACAGACACTGCAAGAACTCTGTTCTGAGCAGCACAGGTTGGGGCTCTTTTTCAGAGGTCTGAGAGCTGGGCTCGCGTTGGCAGTAGATACAGAGCAGCTATTGGATATATCAAACAGTGCCTCAAAAAAGTCTGAAAGGAAGATTTCCCTAAAGACTGCTTTAAAAAACCAAACCAAACCCAAAGCACTTCACCCGAGATCTGTTCCATCTTCTGCTGAAGTTCAGAGCTTGCCAGCTTTAAGAACGACAGGAAGGAGGCGGCAATGAGGCGGAAACAAAACCAAGTAATTCCCAATTTGTACCGATGGAAAGCTTCAAGTAAAAGGAAACCCACTTGTTAAAGATCTTGCTACATGCACAGTCCCTCATCAGTTGAAAGCCACAGTAGTTAGCATTGGGTGTAACAGCAGATTTCTCATTCATAAAAAACACTGATAATGTTCCTTCATTCTTAATTACTTGCATCCACGGTTTCTGTTTAGAAACTTCTTAAAAAATGTTTATGGTTCTGCACATTTCATACCAAACCAGAGGAAAACAGTAAACATGTCTTCATTTGATGCAATCCCATCCAGCAATCTCCTCCCCAGGAGCTCAGTGTCATTTACGAGTCTGAGTCTTCTTTGGCACTGCAGGTCGCTTGGCTTGCCACAAGTGGTTGTGGATGGTAAGAGCATCCACACTAACAGACATGGTTTTGGCTGGAATCACATTGAACTGTTTTCTGTCTGAACTGTATTTGTAAAGTTTGTCAATCATTTTCTTGGTGATGCTCTTTGGCCCCGTTCCAGTCAGCTTGTAGATTTCTTCAGTATCTGGGTAGTAGCAGTAAAGTGCTCTGAACTGGCAGCCAGCATCACGGAACAAAATGATGTAGTGGTTGGCATCACATTTTTCAAGCTCCTGCATTAAAAACAAGCAAGTAAACATACATGGAGACTTCAGCTCACAGTGAAAACTCCCATACGGTGTGCCCAGTTTTTAGCTTTCCCACACAGCTAAAAAAGTGGGTCCTTCTTGAATAGCATTCCTCATTTCACAGGTACCTTAGGAAATCAGCACCATGGATGAGTGGGGTTCTGAAGCAAGCACTGCAGGTGAACTTGACTGTGAGTGCATTCATGATTTCATATTTTATTGCTTACCTCTAATATTGAATTCTTATGTGGTTCATTCACTTTTCCAGCAAGACAGCAGTGAGATATAGCATTGTGAATGATAGGTTTGTTTGATTTGCTGCTGGGTTCCTTAAATAATTTTGGACCTAAGGAAGAGAAGCAAGCAAACTTTAGTTGTCCAACTCTTAAGAACATTAAGAATTCAATTCATCAGAAGTGCTAGAAAAAAATAAACATTTTCTTCAATAACTTACTTGTAGATATCAAACAGAACAAAACAGACTTGATAATGTCTCAAAAGTAACGGGTCACACCAAACCCACCAGAGCTTTACATAGCCTGCTAGTCACAATAAATGCTCACACTAAAATGAAAATGGTTACCTGTGTATTCTGCCACTGAAGCAATAGAAGATGCAGTTGAAGCATTCTCCCAGTCTCTTTCTGTGTTTCTGCTAGGATTTCTGCTCAATATTGGTAACGACTCCATAGATTCAACTCTGTTGGGAAGGGAGAGAGAAAATAAGCATTGCTTTGCCTTCAAATCTCCAATAAGTTCACCAGACACCAGCCCTGGAAAAAAAAACAACCAGATCGCTGTCCCTCTTCCTCCTCAGAGCTGTCAGACTCTTCCTACCACATTACTGAGGCAAACTTTCTCGTTTTTCTTTTTCCCAAACAAATAAAATTCCAAGTTTGTATAGATTAAATTTGGCACCCAAGTGAAACAGCAGATGAATTAGGCAATTATTGTCGTGCCTCTATTCCTGCAAACCAAAGCAAACAACACTGAATCCTAAAACACTCTCATAAGGCAAGATAAAAGTTTCTTTCTTTCTTTTTAAATCTCTCTACCTCTGAGACGGCGTGCCACCAGAGTGTACGCTCTCAGGTTCTGTTGTTGCTGCTGAGGCCAAAGAAAGACTGGAACCAGACTGGGCGCTGCTCAAATTGTCAGCTACAAGAAAGAAGAGAAAACGTGAATACATTTATTAAAGCAGATCAGCAGACTCACTGAGAACAAACAACTCAAAATTCTTACGAGTCGAAGAACACTTTGTCCCTGAATCACTGTAAGATTCCTCACGATGGACTGACTTGGGCCTGGGCTTCTTGGGCTTTGATTTGGGCTTTCCAAGCCCTTGCTCCTCCAAGATTTGTTGCTGTTTTTTCCTTAGATACTCTTGCTTGATAAGTTCCCTACGAGCCTTCTCCTCTTCTTTGCGTATCCTGTCCTCCTCAGCTTTGCGACTGAAAAGCAAACCACAACATTCAATATGTGATGATTTTCCTCATTTTGAAGGTCAAAGGAGCCATCCTTTTCCACATGCTATTACCGAGCTTCATCTCTTTTTTGCTCTACTTCAGCCTCCAGCTGCTGTTTCCGAAGCCGAGCCTCCTCAGCTTTGCGCTGCTGTTTTAGAAGGAACGCCGCACGTTTCTTCGCCAACTCATCTTCTGCTTTCTGTTCATCCTGCAAGATTCACAGGGATAGAAAGTCATAAAGACTACAGGAAAACACATCAACATGAGCATCAAGGATTGCTGAGGATTCCAGGAAGATTTTTAAGGAAAACATATGGCAGTACCTTTGGAAATGTTGATGATCAGAATCGAAGAGTGTAAGTCAGAGAACCATACTGAATTTTTTGGTGTTCTCCAAGAGAGCTTCAACACCAAATTTTCCTTTAAGTCCATAAGAGGAAAACAGTGCAGGGGCTCACCTTACCCCGATTCGTTTTAAGTAAAGTTAAACAGCACAAAACCTTGTAAAACTGTAAGGTATCATGGAACTGCAGTGTTGCCTAGAGTGGAGAACATAGATAACCCCAGCACAATGATAGCCTTTACAGCAATAAACATGCACCATAGTGCACAGCATCAGAAGACAAAGTGACTGAAGTAAAACCTGGAGTTCTTTTTAAAACAGAAATGGACAAAGAAGGTATTGTCATGTCAGCACATGAAGTTGCCAGGAGATTGCTCCCTATCAGAAGACTGCTTTCATACAACATAAAGAACTTTTCTCCTCAAATGTGTTTTTTTTCAAATCCTAATATTGCAACCAAAATGCATCCGGCTCCACCAGATGGCTCAAGAATGAAGAGGCAAAACCAAGTTCTCAGTGCTGGACAAAAGTGTACCAATCCCTAAATACATAAAGGTAACATATTTACCTTGAAGAAAAATCCCACACCAGACTTCTGGTCACCGTCGCTAATTATATCTGCAGAGCTATCCTGGTTCTCAAGTTCTCCTTCATCTGGAGCTTTTAAGTCAGACAAATCTACTTCAATGAGATTAGCCTTGCTCCTCAGTGGCTCATCCACAGGGACATTTTCTTTTCCTGAGCCATCAGAAGAATTCAACCCTGTTTCTTTGAAGCTGTTATTCACCTCTTTGCTCATCTCAGAAATGATATTTGCATCTTTAGAGGTGGAGAGAACAAGTGCCCGCTGATTACTCTCATCATGAAGTCTGTAGGTATCAAAGAAACACTTTTCTTGAGACCCACTTCCCAGATCAGGACTAATTTCAGAGCCTATTTCTGTCGGCGTCTTCAACAAGCTATTGGATGGAAATGGTCTTAAATGCGGCAAGGTTTCGAGACTTTGTGTTGGGGTTTTAACACGTGCTGAGTTCTGCTGTCTGTCTTTAGGGACTTTCAAATCAGCTGGTCTTCCTGATCGAGGACTCCTGCCCTGACCGAAGCGAGGCGGTTTACGAAGACTGTTCATTCCAGTTGGTGACAGGGGCTCAACAAAATGGATTGATGGTTTTACCTTTTGGTCCTGAGAGTTACTTCTGGTTCCTGGTGACGGCACTGATGGAGATTTCATAAGCAGTTCCTGTTGCTGAGAAATCTTTAATATAGCCTGCTGAAGTGTGCTGATTGTCTCATTGAGCTTTTCAATAGAAAGATCACATTCATTAATATCTACTTCTGTAACGCTGTCTTCCAGAAGGGCAGCAGAAATAATTTTACTTTTTTCCAATTCATGTATAGCAGCAGAGTCTTTTGGTTTGTGTTGCTCAAAAGCTATGCTTTCTTGCATTTTTACTTTTGTTACCTCTTGAGAATCGTTAAGCACGTCTTCTCTTTCCTCCTCCTTCACAAAATACTCTTCAGACTTAGAACCCAAAGAAACTTCATCTAAGTCTTCACCATTCTGCCGAGGGTATTCTTTTGGAAAATGTTCTGGTTTAAGTGGTTGTGGAACATCGGGAGATTTCCCTTTCTTAACAACATGCAAGAAAGCTGCCTTGCCCAATTTTAGTCGCTGCCTTGCTGATAAGGCTTCCATCTTCTTCTTCTGAGCTTCTATTGCTCTTCGTTTCTCTTCCAACTGCATATGAAGCTGCACCAATTCAGAAGCTAGAAGATTAACATTATCTTTGTTTGGTCTGTTGGGGCTTTGCTCTCTCTTCTGTTTCCACGTGGTCAGCGGAGCTGGGCAGCTTTCTGATCCATCTGGCGTGGTCTTTTGTGAACTACTTGTGCTGGACTTAGTTTCATAGCTGTTAAGCCTCTGAAGCTTTCGTTCTGCAAAACTGGTCATGCGGACACTGCCACTGGCCATGGACACACTGCTCACTTGGGAGATGGTACTCAGACACGGGCTGGAGCGCCCGCTTGCATCATCTTTATCTTCGTGTTCTTTTACCTTCATGTCTTCTTGCAGCTTTGCAGATTCTTCCTCACCTATGTATTTAGCAACTATAGGATGGTCGTCTAAGACTCCCAGGTCCTGTTCAGCGTCCTCTATGTCTAAGAGATCAGAATCAGAGTCCTGTCTCACCATAGTCCACGTAGTATCCGGAACATGTAAATTGAGACTCTTTACATAACTTACATTGACTTTACTAGCTATGTCATCATCAGATTTAGCAGCGTGAAGAAAAAATCCTCCAGTGGGTTGATCCTGAGCAGAAGGATCTAAACTGCTACTAGCTAACGGTCTGGAGGCTTCCAACCCTGCCTCCGCCAGGGCTACTGTGTCTGCAGCACCAGACTCAGTAACTGGAGTGAAATCAGAACTAGAAATTGGAGTAAAAGTCCTACTGAGATCATGGTCGCCATGACCACTACTTGTTTTCTTGCGAATCAAAGGCAAGTGTCCCTCATTTAATCTCTTTGTTATAAAACTCCTTTGCTTCCCCTCCCCACACTCATCCTCTTTATTTATTATTTGTTTCTCCTTTGCTGGCTTTAGAACTGCAGGCATTAAAGGCTCCAAGTAGAAACTGTCTGGTTTGCTTTCTGAAGACTCGCTGTTTATTTTTGGAGACCACGCAGTTGCAGCTCTGCTGGGTACTCTGGCTGCTGCATTCTGCAATTCCACGTCACCACGGTTTGGCCTTTCTTCAGATCTGATTATTGCAATAAGCTCTTCATCTTCATCCTCAATTTCAACATTGTTCAGCAAGCTCTTCCCATTAGTTTTCAATGATGGAGGATGGGGCTGGTTTTTTGGAGTTACGTTAACGATGTTTGAAGCAAGACTGTCTTTGCTGATTGATCTAGCCAGACTAATGCTATCACCAGACCCAGGGTCCACATCAGTACTGGCAGAATGATGAAGAGCAAATGGTGTTGGCTGAGACAGAGGCCTAGAAAACATAAGAACAGTGTACTGAAGAGAAAGTACAAGAAGTTACGATTTGCTGAGTTAAGGAGCATAATAGACAAAGCCAACGTTTCTGTTCTATCTGAAAATGGCAGCCTGTAGCAAGAGTGAACACCAACAGTAAGACAGCAACCTCAGCTACTTAAATTCTCAACCATGCTTATTGCAAATCACGTTTGAAGTATGTTCAACTGCAACACTAAAATCAGACATCCCTGAAAATGCTTTTTTTTTTTTTAATTAAAGGAAACGAAGTTAAGCAACTCAGTCCATTTCTAAAGAAGTGATACCATATTACTACAAGGACATTTGTCACAGTATGGACTATCCTTCCATTAAACAGTGCTGTAATAATACCCACAAGCACACATTACCTGGGTTTCTTCTCTGGCCATGCAAGAACTGAACCTCGTGGCTGCCCATCAACACGGGTCAGAGAATTAGAACGATGTCGATGACCTACAATATTTTTAAATGGGCAATGTTTAGAAACAACCTTTAAGCTCAGAGAGTCATTGCCTTTAATAGCAAATATAATACATTATTTCGCCAAGAGATGGCAGCAAAAAACAAATTTGCACAAACTATTAAAGAAAATTAAACAAAAGCCTGGTAAAATACACTGAAAAAATGGCACTGTATACATAAATATATATAGACACATGTGCATACACATCTGTATATATTTATTATACACAGATGTGAATTCTGCATTTCCAAGCATGGAAGTGCTCAGTTTGCTTTCTTCATCCTTCCCACTCAATTCCCAGCCCCATCTTTTTTTTCTTTTTTTGCTTGGGTTTAAACAGTCTCCATCATGGCATGTTGTAAGAGCCCAGGCAGTTGAAATGAAGTTTGGTCAGTACTATTGCTGATAAAAGAAAATAAGTTCTAAGTAACTCTGCATAAAACCCAAATTTTCCAAAAGTACCTTTAAATTAAGTTTACTGTCTTCACTTAGCATGTGTATTTCTTTGTTGCATTGACAGTGATTGGCATTGCCTTTTGAAATGTAAATTCAAAGTAGACTTACCAGGGCTCTCTTCACCCTGTAAAGATTTTTGCTGTTTCTGTCTCAAAGGGAGCAGTGGATGGGAAGGGCTAAAGGCAGGGCTTCCTCCTTTGCCACTAATTGAGAAAATCAGAACAGTAAGAATTCATTAATAGAAGATTTTTTTTTCCCTATAACAACAGAGAAAGGTTATACAGCAGAGAAGTTACAGTAGTAAGAGTTGCCCCCATTCTCCCCTGAAACACAAGATCACATCATCAGTATTAAAGAACTTAGAAATTAAGGTTTTCACATGAAACAATAGAAAAGTAAACTACTATCTGAAATCAAAGTGTTTTATGTTGTTAAACACAGCGACTTTAAAATGTAGCTCAGGTAACAGTACACTTGAGACAAAGTAAAGGCTGAATTAACTTTCCTACAGCTCTCACATTTGGTACAACTGAAAAACCTTGTCACTGACTTCCTTGTGCATTGAATCAGTTAAGTTTTTTCATACCAACATTTAAAGAACACGGCCAGCAAAGATCAGATGCTTGGACAGTTTTCACATTTCACACTATCTTCAAAATAAAAATTAGAAGAATTTCTTCTATAACACAACAGTGACATTTGGTGTTGAGGCTCACTGGAATTTGCCAAAGATCAAACATAACAGTGCCAAGAATTTCTCTGAACTTCAGAATATTTTACATATTGAGTGAATTCAAGCTGTGTGCAGAAAATCTGCAGCAAAATCAAAACAGCTAGAAGCAGAATTTTCTATGTGATCCAAAATAATCCAGTATAAGATCCATCTAAACAACATGAAAACAGACTCACAGGTAGTCAGGTTCTTCAGGGTGCAGGTAGTACCTACTGCAAGCTTCAGAGCCTGCCTGAGCTGAGGGCTGCATGTCTGCTGGATTGGTACAAGCAGGACTGGCCATGAAACTCCTCTTAGTTGCATTGGAGATGGGAACGGGTGGGCGGCTGCTCTTCTGCTGCAACACTGTTTTAACTGCATATATATTAAAAATTGTGTTAATGTTATAAATAACCACTAAAATAACAAAGCAGAAAAGGAAGTTTCAAACTGCAGTACGCTACAGCGACCATTTTGTGACACAAAACTGAAATGCAGTAGAAGTAATAACCTGGATTTAAAAAACGTATATTCTGGTGGTTTTATTGGAAAGAAAGTAAATGATGAGTGCATTGGAGTAAAAAAAAAAAAAAAAATCATCTGCTTATCACATTGCAAAACTTAGAACCCAATCCACAAGGACTAACCTGGCTTTCCTTTTTTCCTGCTTTCAAAGACCACAGCAGCACGCAGAAAGCCCCAAAGCAAACAGCAAAGCTCCAAAGCAAACAGCAACGCGTAACGGCTTTTCATTCTGATGTAAATATTTGGAAATAACTCACTAATATTTATGAAACATAAAAGTCTTACCATCTTTTATTTCCTGAACATCTCTTGGTTGCACAAAGTCTGGTTTGACGTTCTCAAACCACCAGAAGAGTTCCGCAATGAATACCATGACGTTAGGCTAGAAGAGAAAACAATGCTCCTCACAGTAACAAAATAACTGCTAGTGATGTGCCTACGTTTTGTTCAGAAATGTGTCCCTCATTACGTTTCTTACCTTTAAAACTAAAGGAGCATACAACATGTCCTCCAGTGTGAGATAAAAGCATTTGTTTAGATATTCATTTGAGAATTCTCTCAAGAGTTGAATATTATAAAGGCTGTCAGCGATTGATGTCACCTCCTTCAAACAAATATCTAGAAAGGTAAGAAAGACAAGTTATGGCACTAACCAGTGAGTTAAACTTCCATCCACAGCTAACAGAAATACTATGCACAGGAACTTCAGAGTGCTTATAAAGCATCACTTCATATTTAATGTGACAGTGAATCTCTCTACCTCTTAAATACCAGAGGATAGGAAAAGAAGGGAGAAGAAAGGTACACACAACCAAGTATCAATTTGGTGTTTGTTTTACAAACCATATATGATTTTCATATCACAGAAGAGGTGAACAGGCCACAAACGATACCCAGTGGTAAAGTAAAAAAGCAAATAAAACCAGGTTTGCAAATGACACAGGCTGGCAGTTCAAGTTGTATACATCTGCTGATCACCACAAGAACTGTGAGCCAACAGTAATGTGTGTTTATTTCTTCTGAAGGTTTAATCAGAGCAAGCTCAGTAATATAAGAGACAACATCGTACCACCTACATCTATTACAAAACAGACTACCTCCTATAACATCTGCTGCTTTTTCATTTGATAATTCATTTCTAGTTCAACTTTAAAATACTTCAGAATAATATCTAAGAAACTTTTCTACATACCATCTAGCTTCATTTGCTCTGGACAATAATAGTGTATCACAGCTAACAGAGCAGCACCATCACTACCATCCTTCATCAAGTCCTCCAGCAAAGGAAAGTAAGGTAATTGCCTGCTTGACAGATGGTCTCTTCGGTAACGCACCTGAAAAAAGAAAACTGGTGTTCATGTGATGCCAAGGAACACAGGAGCTGTAGTTAAGTACTGAAAGCTCCTTATGGTGGATCCTTCATAGCATTCTACTTTATCTAAGTCAAAAACAACGCATGTGGTTATACTCTCCCCTCCACAGAGGCCAATTCAGAAGAATACAGTGCTTCCATTTTAAACATTCTCATATCTGGAAGCAGTCCATGTGGGATTCCTAGCTTCATAGACAGGTTTTAACTTAATGCAAACTAATTTCAGTCAGAATCCTTCCACGCAGATGCACAAATGCAGCAGACTCAAAGAAAGAGAAACAGACAACTTACACATATACATATAAAGCTTCAGGGGAAAAAATTAAGATGAACTAGTGATTTCTCATGTGTTACCCGCACACAGACTTGCCAGCATATCACCAGAGAGCAAAGGTTTCTTGGAGAGATTCAGAGCATTGTATACAACAGCAATGTGCAAAGGAAAAAATGTGGCTTTTCTCAAAAACGCTCTGCGAGAGGAGGAGGAAAGGCTAAAATCAATGGCACAACTCTCCTTGATTTCACCACACATCAACACCAAACTCCTACTGGCTACCTCTGGAGCCTCACATGATTTTGAGCTTAGTTGACGAGTATCTAAAGAACGTCCTGCAATTTTTTCAAGAAAAGTTTTAGCATTGATGTTTACTAACAATCCACGTGCTGGACTGGAGGGCTACAGCCAAGTCCCAGCAGCAAAATGATCCAGCAAGCAAAAAATAATACAGTGCAGAGCCCATCAGAAGTATCTTACAGCGATGGAAAAGATTCCCTTCACACCAGCACGTTAACAGCACTTAACATCTCATGAACTCTCTTCATGCACGTGCTGGCCTAGCATGGTGCTATGCAGAGAACATCCTTAAGGAGCGTAACAAAGTTTTATTTTATCTATAGTACCATAAACTTTCCAAGATAACCTGGGCAAGCTCTCTGTGCACACACACACACACACACACTCGTGTCAATTTAGGATGGCACAGGCTGAGAAAAATTATATTCAAAAGAAAGAAGGTGGCTCATAAGCAATTTAATAATAAGAATTTCATAATAAGGAACAGCTCCATTTATTTTGAACAAGTGTAAATACAGCACGTTGTGTTTCTCTGGCAAAGGTAGGTATGTCTAAAAGCAATGCTATTGCTATTTTCCCAGGTGCAAATGATCTTTTTTCCCCAGCCTGGAGCACTCCACAAATACGTAATGGAATGTGAATCATACTGTACCACACGAGCATATTCCACTGGTTCCTGCATGCAGTGCGATATGGCATGCATCAGATCAGGCTTACACAAAAAGAAATAGCGAGATATAGGTGCTGGTTATTCACACACGAAACAAATCAAAGGCATCAGCAACATCCATTATGCACTGGAAAGGCGGTCATTAAGTCTGATAAAACAAGTGTGCACACTAAGGTGATCTGGTTAGCTTAAAAGGTTCATCGTTCATCCACTTAGTTGAAGTAAACAAATTAAAAGAAACGTCAGGAATTTCATTTTGCATTTTGGTTGCTCCGCTATTTAAAATAGGAACGTATTTCTTTTCTAATGGGAAAGGAATTTAAATGGAATTTAAACCAACCACGGTCAATACTGTATCTGTTTCTTCTACTCTCATTTAGGAGTCTCTAAATATAACGTGAACCTACGTAGCTTCTTGGCAATGCTATCAAATGTAGGCCTCCAATACAGATGGAGAACACAGAACACAAGAGACAGACTGCAGGTCAATACTTGATTACGTTGTCACGAGTCATTAAACGAGGCTGCCGGGGCTCTGGCACAGATTCCATCAGCCTGCAGCTCCCTGCTTCCATTCTCTTTATTTCAGATACTTCAAGTTTTCGGTGCGGTTCACTCGGTTGAAACAAACCCAAGATTGTAGAATCATAGAACAGCTTGGGTTGGAAAGAACCTCAAGGATCATCAGGTTTCAACCCCACTGCCACAGGCAGAGCTGTCAATGCTTCCAGTATTAGGAGCAAGAAGGGAGCGATGGAGCTCAGTGTGGAAAGGCAGAAATGGCCAGAGCACGCCTGCCTTCTCCAGCTGCACCACTCTTGGGAATCTGCAACTGAGACAACAGCTCTCATCCTCCCAAGCAGGAAATGAGAAGCACCACATCCAGCAAAGTGCAGGACGAAGGGCACCGAGGCCAAGAGAAAACTGAGGAACAAACGAGAACCTCTGCAAATTCAGATAAAACCAGGAAGCTCAACTAAAAGCAAACAACATCAATTCCACTTTGTATAAAGCCAAAACCTACGTGTTTTTATTTCCACTTTCACACTTCCCCTAAAATAAAAATACTGTCTTTCCTCCCATTATGCCAGCTTCAGTTTAATTCACCATACAGTTCCACTCTTCATAGCAATAGGTCCAAACCGGTTTGTCAAATCTTCTTACCTCATCTCAATGAATAACGGTGTTCTGGGTTGGATTTACCAACTATGGGAACGCCAGAGCACCACACAATGAACCAGTGCAGACATCTACTTATCTTAACAATGGATTCAAAGCTTAAGCAACCATTTAAACTGACCAGCTTTTGTATCACCTTAGTGCTGCCATCCATTGCCTATTTACAACAGAAATACTGAGTGTAACTGTTTCAACCACTGTTAATCTCCCAGCTTTTTGCTGCTACTCCATATTCCTCACTCCTGCACTGGGGAAACAATTTTGAAGTGCTGTAAAGTGATTATGCTGTATGCTGTACAGTATGCAGAAATCGTGTTATGAAAATAAAGCCTGATGACCAGAAAGCTTATGCAGAGGGTTTGTTGGTTTTTATAAAGAATGCCTAAGCAGCATTGCAAATGGAAGCAAACAATCCCAAGAAATTTAAAAAGCCATGATTTTGTGGATGACAACTGGCGTAAAAGTAAATCACTTACAGGTACTAATTTCCAATACCATTTGGAAGGAGACTGCTCAGGAAGCAAGGAAAGGAATGTAGGAATAGGAAAGGAACATCAGCAATGCAAGTTATAAGCAGCAATACTTCAATACTTTCATATTCAGAGGGTTTGCAGTCCAGAAGTTTAAATTAAGGAAGAGGCCCCAAAGTCAGTAGGTCAAATTGGTAACATGGGATCCTTTGGAGCAGACATCAACTTGTGAACTGAACAGCTCTCAGGTCCCTCATCATCAGAAGATTTTACATAAAGCACACAAAACCTTTGCCACAACGTGTAAATAATAGTGCCTTGTTTGTACATTACAATTTTATCCCCTTTGCACAGCAATGCCAACTAGAGGAAAGTGCATGGAGCTCTTCTAAAGGCTTTGTGAAGCCATTAATTGGGAGCACTGATAGCTGGTGTGCTATGTTTGCAAAAAAAAGAAGTCTATTTTACATTCTCCAGCAATGAAAGTGCACAGTGTTTTTGCACCGTTATGCATTGCGATATATCTTCAGGGGAGAAGGTAGAAAAGAGTCACAAACATGTAACATACCAAAAGTATGCTCACCAGACAGAGCTGGAATAAGCTTCTAAATTGAAATTAGACAAAATTCATGCAAAATGAATACGCCCCCAAAAGCTTTCAAAATATATGCTATATATTTTGTTCTGTGAAAGCTGAGTGAAGTCTACTGAAATTATTAAACTAACACAAGTTATTTTAGTCCAACTAAAAGGAAAGTCAAAAGATCCTACAGGGATTGAAAGGAAAGGAAGGGCACCAAGAAACACAAATTGCATGCACAGAATCTCAGGAGTTTTGAGGACTGGATGCCTCACATTTATCTGACAAAGAAAACGCTGAGATGTTTATACCCAAAGCCACTGATCACTAAAGCACAGAGTTCTGACTGAAGACAAAACTGTTTTACCTTCTGATGCCCTGGACTTTCCATTAACTGCTGTTTTAATTTGATCTCCTTCTCTGTTATCTCTCTCATTTTAAGGTTCACCTAAAAGGGCAAAGCACAGAAAGGATTAACATCGGGATAAATACATCCAAATATACATTTGCCTCAAGTAACAAAAAATAATCTTGTGGAACAATAACACGATAATCACAAGCAGTTCTTTGAAGTAGAAAAGATGACAGAAAGGGGCAGTTAAGAAAGATGGACGGAATGCACTCATCAGAAGCTTTGTGAACACTGCACAAGGAACAGACACTGCCCTTGAAGCAAATTTTACCTTGTTAATCCAGAAAACCATTGCATCCTCCAGATCATAGGGCAGTTCTTTTGAGGCACTGAATGTAGAGAAACGCTTGACGCTAGCGACCACCTTTTCAATGCTGATCATTTCTACAGTGTAGGCCATCATAAGGGCGTCAATCATGGCCATGTGAGAGCTCTGAAACAAGGACGCAATGAGTACCGAAAACCAAAATCCTGCAGGAAAAAAACCTTTGTACACTCTGACTGTATTTACACTGAAAAACTCCCGAGGTTAGCGGCCTAGAAACGAGAATCCCTTCCTTCCGTGAACGATTTCAAATCGCGTTAAATAAAAAGATCATTAGGTGGATTTAATTAAGCTAACCATTTTGATCGGTGCGCAGCCCAGATCGGATTCAGACACAGGTGTGTCATCGCCCTCCATGACGTAAATCCCCTTTCGAGACAGCGCCTGGATCACCGACTGGTGGCCCTGCAGCGCTGCCACCTGGTCGCCCTTGAGGATCAGGCTGCAGACGCGGCAGTACAGCTCACTGGACAGCAGCAGCTTGATGACGGGAGGCTTGATGTGCTCCTGCTCATACTGGTCTATGTAGAACGGGTCCTTCAGCTCCTCGGGGACGTTATCTGGAACAAAGGGGTTTCAACAAGCGCATCACTAAGGCTGTAATTCGCAGGCAGCAGAGCAGAAGGGTCAATGCTTGCACTGTGCTTCTCCCCCAGCGGCTCCCACCCTCACCAAGACCTGCACATTTGCTGCTAATCAGCAGATCCACACAGCTGGCAGCAATTCTATCATTTCAAATCACGCACTGCTAGCTGAAGCACTGTCGGTGCTAACAGTTGCAATGCTACAGCTCCAGGCCAATTCCAAGAGCCCAAAGTGGCAGGGAAAGTTCTTGCGAGCAACATTTCCTCAGTATTATTCTAGGGATGCAAAACAAGTTAAAATTAGATGTGTTCTAAAATAAATGCTTGTACCATATCCAGCAATCAGACTGGAGCCCGGCAGTAAGAACAGGAGTCTCCACACCAGCAGTACTTGCCAGCCTCACCTGTGTTTCCCTACAAGAAGCCTGACATCGTATTGTACTCAAACACAGGGTTTGATCCCATGTCACCCAATCACTGAAGATCTCCCCCTGAAGTCACTCCAACCGTTCATGTTAATAAGCATATCTAAAGCTGAAGGAATCACTGATCTGGCAGCACATTCACTTTCCTTCAGCTCCTTTCTAGAATAAACACATTTCCCCATTGAAAAAAACTCTGAGCCACAGCATCTCTCAGAACTACAAAATGAGCCACACCATGTTCGTATAAAGAAGAGAAACTGAGACAGGATCGTATCAAGTATAAGAGCTAAAAGTACATCTCACTTCAATAAAAACACATAGTATACCAGTACTATAATAATATCCCCAACAGCTACTCACACTTTGCCACACAATACTGCCACTACTTGTCAAAATTGAAAGGTTTTTGGAGTTTTCAAGAATTAAGAAGATTATTTTCCTTTACATGGCATTGACTGCTGTGTTACACAGATATATGCAGTCAGCATATAAGTAATACTGAAGACAGTGGGGACAGGAACAATAAAACCTTGCTGGCACCACATCAGAGGTATTGGTTAGCAGAGTTGCCCATTCATTAGTGAACAGATAGCAAATTCAAATATTTCTAATCTCCTTAATATTAGACAACCTGACCCAGAAATGCAAGGCTGCTGAAAGGTAATTGCATTTAACAGACGTTTAACACTGAAGTAGGGCCTCCACTGCTAACGACTGGGGAACATCCAAAACTCAGCCTTTCCCTACTGCAGTACTGCATTCCACTGCTCAGAAAGACCTGAGCGTGCTGCCTCTGTCACAGTGCAAAACCCTCAGCACTTCAACCTACAAAGCACAGCAGTGGCACACATATGCACACGGATTCACACACACACATATGCATTACCTTCTCTTTCAGAGCCGACCAGATTCTAGTTTGATGCTGCGTCCAATCAAATTAGCTTAAGGACTCAAAAGCCCAGAACACAGAAAATAAAATGCAGAGTTAAAGCAAACAAACAAGCAAACAAAAAAAAGCAAAGATGTGCATTTGCACAAATGCAGAGGTCTGATGAGAGCAGTACGCTCTGGTCTACATCCAACTCCCATCACAACAACGGCTGCTGAGACCTCTCCCTCAACACCTGCACCTCCAAATGACAGCGCTGTTCTCCAATCTGCAGCAGCCACACGACCCCCAGATGTGTCCCAGCTCTCACTGCCATCGCTGATCAACGAGCCCAAGGCCCTGCTTGAACACAGCACCCATCTGTCCAGCCCCAGTTTCCATGAGCACCTTTTGCAATGCTTTACTTTCGTGACCTGTAACAGTACTCAGGTGTGAAGAAACCTACAGTCATTAAAACTTGTATTTTTACATGTGTGCGCCATGGAATGCAGAAAATCAACATGAAAACATCATTCAGAGCAACTACCAGCTAAGCTACAGCTAAAAAAAATAAAAAAATAAAAATCAACTGGAATTGAGTTTAACGAAACTCACCAAAGCAAAGCAGAAACAATTAAACCACGTCCTTTTTTTCTTTTTGCCTACTTTAAGGTCTTCAATAGCACCTTGAATACAAAAGGAAGCCGCTTCCACATCTACTACACGTTACCAAAGAGCCTGCACACACCTTCTGTTGCTCCTAACGTGCTTTCTCAGCAGTTACCCCCAGGAAAACATCAGCATCAACTTGCAGGCATGCTTTGCAGCCACCAGTTTTTGATGAGCGTTTTTCTTTTGACAGCTTTCAGCTACTGGTGGTTTAACAGCACCTTCAGAACGCTGGTACACAAGTGATGATTAGAGCTGTCAGAGGCAAAGGGCATTCACAAAAGCAGCCTGTCCTCAGCTTCCTATGAGGAATTGCAGAGATTGACCAGAGCTGGCTGGATGCTGATTCCATGCTCATTTGACACCGTGCTGCTTAGCTGCACGCAGTTGACTTGCAGAGCAAAGATGCCCAGTCTTGCTATCTCCAGCACTTGTGGAAGCAGAGCAGTATCATGCTTCCCAACCCTCAGCAGCACGTAATCTGAAGTGCTCTCATCCCAGGGAGCCCAGCAGGGACATATCTGTGCTGCCCGTTTTCATAAGAAACGAAGCATTCAAAAATCAATCTGCATAATCACTCATGAAGCAATGGTTTTTGGTACCACGTCAGTGAATTCTCATCGTTCAAAAAAAACCAGTCAGTTCCAAGTATAAATCATTTTGCACACAAGGGAGTTACAGGACTACAAACATGAGTTCATGTGTAGCAGCAATGAGAACAGCAGCAATTCTGCCCAGACTCCCCTCCTCATTTTAGGGTAGGGATCATTTCTTCACTGTCTCACTGACAAACACTGGCTCAGAGATGATCACCCGATTGCTCTGCTTTTCTTTATCACGTTGTAATCTGAACAAATTTGACTTATCCCTTGAACTGGAGAAGTGGAAACCAGCCAGATCTTATTTTACCTCTGGAAGAGCAAAGAACTGGTTTCACATGGAAAGAGAGCCAAAGCATGGCAGCACACAGAATGGGGCTCATTCAGATTCTGAGTAGAGTTTCATTGGTATCAGTATCCGCTCACAGAATTATTCAGTGCTACTTGGATGTCTGCTAAGCTGCAGAACACAAAGCAGAAGCTACACTTTCTCAGCTTCACTGCAATGAAGACATCTACCCTTGGTTCTAATTATCAATCCATATTATGAACTCCAGAAGTCATCTCTCACATCACTCGTGGAAATCTATGTAATGTGGGCACAAAAAAACCCCCCACACTAAAGATGAGGCATGGTGCCACGCAGTGAGGCTGCCCTTCTGTTATCCTATCTTTGGATCAAACAGAAAGCCATAAGCCTGGACAAAGCAGAAGAAAGGAAATAACTACAATAGTTTTCAACCCTGTAAAGTTCACCCAGGTAATAGCCTGTGTTTATAAACAGGCCCTGTTAAAGAAACCAAATGTTTAACTACTCGAGTGTTTGCCAAACACAACAGGTTTCTCAAAAATATTTTTATTACAGACCTCACTGAGGCAAGGGAAGAGGAACAAGGAACACCAGGGTTTGCTTAGTTCAGCCCTGGAAACATTTTCACACTGCTGGTGCCAAATGGTAACTGCAGGCAGCTATTATGGTACTGCAAAACCTCCCTTAGCAGGTGAACATGAAGGACTTCAAAGACAAGAAAAGCCACAATGTGCACTTCCTCTACAGTGCATTGTAGCACTGCTTTGCCCTCCCTCCTGTACCAGGTCAAACCTCAGGCTCACGTTAGCACTGAGTGTGGAACCTACACACAGCTCCTCACCCTAATAAGTTCACCTTCATTTCAGCAACCTGAATTTTACAAATTGCATTTAAAAAGCAGTGAAGTTTGTTATGGAGCGGGTTGGAAACGACACGTGCTCACAGCAGGCTGCAACACAGGGGAACTCTCATTTAGTCCTTCCCTCTCTAAATTTTAACATCAAAACCAGGATGCAAACAACCTCAACACACAAATGAACGCAGTCCTAACTCAGCCTGAGGAATGGAAGCTCAGCTGCGGCCCACCTTCACAAGCTGCACCATGCGGAAGCAGCACAGCAAGGACAGCACTGGTGCAGGAGCACAGCTTGCCAAGCTGCTCTAAGCCTCCTGCACTGCCTTCTGCAAGGCCAGGATGAAGCTCTCAAAGGGATTTAAGCGCCCTGTGAACTCAAGTTGCACAGAAACCTGGCAGCACCTTTGCTCCTAGACCTCCTGAGCATTAAGAGCTGTGTTTTCACACTGCTACCAGAGTTCCTTAAAGCGCACGTTTGGTTTTAATCAACGTTTGCTGATGAAAAAGAGAGATAATTCTGCTCTAACCCATTCTGATTCCTTCAAACTACCGTCTCAGCCAAATGGCCTTCCAGTCCTTCAGAAGTGCAGAAGGTTTCCAGATGTTTGTGCACAGATCTCGGTGTGGATCTGTGACAGCACACCTGGATTTACTCTGGGAGAGCGGGATGACAGCGAGTGGGGAAACACCTCCTGCACTGCTTCACCCCCTTCTCTCTTCTGCTGTGCGGACAACGGTTGTACAGCCTGCCTCTCCTGTCCATCTGTGACAAGCAGGCACCAGAGATGGGCAGGAGGAGCCCCGTGCAGCCAGAAACAAACCAGTCAGCTCAATCCCTGTGCAAACAGCAGAAAGGGAGTTCTGCAGCAGCAGCTGTTTGTGCTGAAGAGAGAGGGGAGCTGCGCTCAGCTGTTTGGTTCCCAAAACTCTTCTCATGGGCAGCGGAGAACAAAAGAAAGCATCATCAAATGAAACAAATCCCAAACTAGAGCTTCAGCTCCAAGTGATGCCAGGGATGGCCTCGCTGATTTGTCCTTGAGAATAACAACAAAGGATGGAGAATTTTGCACTTAGATGCCAGCTTTGACATGGAAAATTCACATACACTGCAACAGCAAATAGGAAATTTTAGATTTAGGTAAAATCTACAGTGGAGAATGATGAATAGTTATAGTCTACACCACAATCTAATTCCTGCTCTTGGCCATTCCCACACTTCTGCACAAGCTTAGTTTTAACTCAGATGAAATTCAGGATACACAGCAGCATCTGCAAGATTCCAGCACAAAATTACATCAATTCATGAGTTCAATTTCAAATTGAACATTTCCTAACAATACTTTTTACTCAGCCACCTGAAGGCCGTGCTGAAAACCCTATCTGATAGGGAATGACTTTGGAACGTGAGACAGAGCTTTCACATTCCAACAGAGAACTGCTGGGTTTTCTTCATCAGCTTGACCAGAACTAAGCCCAGAGAAACAACACAGCTCTCCTCCAAAAAACACCTTCACAGTGAGATACTGAAAAAAGAAGTTCTTGGGAGCTGCCCACGCCTCACCACACATCCAGTATCTTAAAGCAAACCAAAGACATCCCACCAACACCACGGAGATGACAAGTAACAGATTCAAATATTACACAAAATGATAATCATGCAGAAAGCCTCCTTAAGCTTTAATTCATCTCTCTGTGAATTAAAGAGGCTTATAAATTTCTAAGTATTTTGCAATGCTTTTCTCAAAGCAATGGTTACCACATGACAACCGCTGGAGCCTTTTCAAAATCAAACTACATTTCCAGAGGCCACAGGCCTGAAAAGACGTACAGAAGCCTTACATGCTGAAGCTAACCAAGGATATGGAACCCCAGAAGCCCCACCAACAACACCTCTTGACATCCATGGCATTAAACTCCCGTTAATGCACAACCTGAACAAGCTGAAACACAAGTGGGAAAATGGCAAGTGATGCTACAGCTTTCTCCATGCTGGAGACCACCCCCCTGTGCCTGTTGTGGACACCTGCAGAAGTGGGGTTCCTCTCTGACCTTTTTAGCCAAGGAAAAGCCAAGCAGGTCCAGTTTACTAACAATTCCATGCAGGTCCACGCTGTGAGGTGCACACAGACCTGTGGCAGCCAGCTGAGCCCAGAGCTACAGACACAGCCCTGCACCCTGCAGCCCAGATGACTCTATCAAAGCACGAGGGGCCCAAAGCTTTCTCCTAAAGCAGCACACAACCCACACCAGTCAGCCCTAAGTCAGAGCTGGCTTCCTTTTGAAACAAAGTCACAAAAGAAACAGTGCGTCTTCAGGGCTGGAGGATCTATTTTACCTCTGACTACCAAAAAAACCTTCAGGAAACATCACAAACAGTCCCAGCAACTGAAAAATATTTACATGAAGAAACATCCACTTATCTCTCTTGTGTTACCAACAGTTCATCATCATTGCACTAAAATTCCCACATTTTTCAACTTGATCTATGTATTTTTTTGTCTCCCCTTGCCTATAACAAAATTTAGTAACAAAGTGCTACAAAAATCCCAGTCTTCCTCCTATTTCTCCCACAACCATCACTGTGATGAGACCACGCACAGAGCTGACAATATTAATAGAAAAACAGTTTAGGAAATATTTCCACAAGGATAATTTTTTGCTGCAGGAATGGACTGCTTTTCTTCAGCCTTGCCACAAAGTAAGCTAGCACTAATCCATTAAGCACATTACGAGTTTGGCGAATTAGACTTAGATTAACAGGGCTACCTCATTTTCCAAAACAAGATTTTGTACATGTTTTAGCATACGTTTTCTTTTGCATAAGCAAAAACAAGGACTCCGGTGTATTTCTTAGAAATGGAGCTACTCGAGCTCAAGAAGCATCCTGCAGCAACAGTTCTGAATAGACAGGTAAATCTACCTCAAAACAAAGAAGTGATTCCAACAGATGCCAGGAAAATGCCGTACAAATGCCTCTGCTGTACAACAACCTGAATTTGTCCACATTGGGCTGTACTGGCCCATGATTTCCCATCTGGGAAAGGAGGACTTCTCCATCACTCACATCGTGCTGTCTGATGTCACACCACACCACCAAACTCCGTGCACGCAACATGGCTTCGACATAAAAGAATTTTACCAATCACCAATGGGCTGTTTTTTGGTTCACCTCAAAACCAATGACACGATCCAATAAAACAAAACGTACCCAGAAATGCTGCAGAACCCAGAACCCCGAGCTGGGGATGCCAACAGAACATACAAAGAGCATCAAGGCCCCAGCACCTCTTGGAAGAGACAACGGGATGAGGGAGCACGCCGGGGCCTCGGGCCTGCAGGTGCTGCCAGCGTGCTTGTCTGAAGTGTGAGGTCACACCTTCGGAGACGTGCATCCTTTGCATCCTTTGTAACAATAACCCGTGAGCGTTCACCACCCTGTTTGCTGGTTCCCAGCAGCTCCCGTAGGTAGCTCCATTGTTCTGCCGAAGGTACCGGGATGTGCATCATGAATATTCCAACAGAACGGACCATCGCATCGCTGATGTCAAAGACAAAGGCGATTTATGCCGAATTTAACCACTCCTGGCAGGGGAGCAGAGCTGCACGCAGAACAAAACCGGCCGCCACCTCACCTATTCCATAGGCTTTAGCGCAGATCCATTGTAGATTAGCGGCTATTTTCGCTCTGGCTGAATCATACAGCTCCAAAGGGACGATCTCCACCGCGCTATCACCCAAGGCATCCATCTTCCTTCTGCCGCTCTCTCCACCCGCACCAACGTCAACATCCACCATCTAGGAGCAAAACAAAAGGCAGCGGTTCCGTCACACCGCCCGGCTCCCCCGGGCCGGGCCGGGCCGCGCCCCTCCGACCCCGGCCAGCACAGCATCTCTCCCGCCCGCAGCCTCACCCCCCGACGGGCAGCACCTGCGGCCCCCGGCCCCGCCGCGCCCGCCCGCAGCAGCACAGCGCCCGCACGCCCATGCTCGGCCCTCGGCACGGGGCGAGGAGGAGAGGGGGGAGGAGGAGGAAGAGGAGGAGGAAGGCAGCGGCGCGGCGCCCCCTCCTCTCAATGGGAGAAGGAGGAGGAGGGAGGAGGAGGAAGGATCGGGGCGCAGCCCACCGCCCCGCCGCCCCCCCGCCGCGGCCTGCAGGCCCCGCGCCGCCTCACCTTGCCGCTATCGCCGCCTCATCCCCGAATCGCGGCCGGCGGAGCCCCGCGTCCTCCGGAGCGGAGGGAGACGGGAGGCAGCGCTGAACGGGGCCGCGAGCGGGCGGTGCTGAGCGGGAGAGCGCCGTGAGGGGAGAAGGGAGAGGAGGAGGAGGAAGAGTAGGAGGAGGAGGAGGAGGGAAGGCAGCCCGCCGCTGCCGGGCCGGGGCTGGCAACGCTCGGGACCGCGCGCGCGCGCATGCGCCCGCCTTGATGCGCGCTCCCGCCTCCCGCCTCCCGCCCGGACACGGCGGCGCGCTCGGAGAGAAGAAAGGCGGGGTTTGGTGCCGGCCGGCGCTGCGCAGGCGCCGCGATGAGGGCCGGGCCGCCCGCAGGCCTCGCTCGGCGACCGTTACCACGGCGTTACCACGGCGTTACCACGGCGACGGGGAGCGCGGCAACGCGTGATCCGCGGCCTGAGCGCGGCGGCCTCGGGGCTGCTGAGGGGAACCGAGGCGTCGCTCCCGACGAGGGACGGGCGGAGCTCCGCCGCTGCGAGCCCGGCTCTGCGAGGGCGTCGAGGAAAGCGAGGGCGGCCCGTGTGCGCGGCGGGTGTGTGGGGAGAACAGAGCCGTGAGATGGAGGAGCCCCGGCCGGAAGATGCGCGTTGTCAGACGCACAGAGCGGGGCTTTGCGGCCTGCACTGCTCACCCCGCACCGCACGGCTGGTTTCCTCCCGGCCACCCTTATTGCATATAAACGGCAAAGAATTTCCAGCTCTCTGCTGTGAATCGTTAACCGGGAAACCCTCCAGGTACACGGGAACTGCTGCAGTGCTGCACTCAGACGTTTCTTCGTCCTGTGAAGGATGCACATCTCCCTCACCAGCCAGCCCCGCAGCACCTCGTGGGAACCCTTTGAGGTGCAGCTCCGTGATGCTTCTCTTCAGGTTATTAGGAACAACCTCCCCCAGGGCTCGGTCTGCTGCTATCTGCTCCTGATCAAAGGATGCCAGAGGTGGTTTCCAGGCAGAAGACTGGCTTACGCAGCCTGTGCATTCCATAGCAAATAATTTGTGTCACGATAAACAGCAAGAAATGGCTGACAGGCATGAAATAATGATTTTCTTTTTTTCTTTTTGGCTGTAGGTAAGCCATCACAAGCACCATAGAGGCCTTCTCCTGGGTGCCCTGCAGACACTGCTGCCCACCGGCCGCCATCTGAAAGCTCACAGATACCTGCTGGCAGCAGCAAGCTCACCCTGCACGGTGACCCTGCAGATTAACTGAGCTGATGAGGTTCACTGATGGCAGCGGGGCTCAGCTGAAAAGTGAAGTTACATGATTAAAAGGTTTGAGTCTCTAACGCACACACTGGATCGATGCATTATCTTAATAGCTATCTTGTGAAAATGTGATGATAAGCTTGGCCTCACGCGGTGATAGCAGACTTTTTCCTACCTAACTTTTGGTTATGAGTCTCATACTTCTGCTATGTGTTGGAACACACGCATTTCAAATTCTTGATTAACTTGGATCAGTCTTAAGATTCAGCATTCGTTTCCCTGTATCTTTTCAAAGTGCCAGGCAACCTATTTCAGGAGTATGATCTAGTGTGATTCAGGAAGTATGATCTGGTGTCCAAAGGTTATCCCAGCCTACTTAATTGCAAGATTGTATGCAATTAAAGTGGATGTCCCTTGTAAACAACTTGCTCATTGTTTTATAATCTCTGAAGAGTTTGGATTTCAGCACAAATTTTTTTAAAGCAGGCTGTCAGTTTATGACGTTACCACTGTAACAAGCAGCTCTTGTTTCCAGATTAAGTATTAAGGCCCAATCCAAATCCCTTTAAACTCAAGAAGAATGTTTTCATTTAGGTAGTGGATTGGGCTGCAGAAACAGGACGGCCCTTTGACTCAGCAGGTGAGCTGTATGTGGGGGTGAAGGCACACGCTGGGAGAAAGCTGCCCTACTTTTTTCTCTGATATATTTTTGCTATAGATGAAGAATGGATGTAGTTGCTAAACCGGTCAGAAACACTTAAAAACAAATTATGATGTAAGAGAGTGGCAGATACTCCTGCAAAACAAGTATTACTAAGACACCTGAAACTGAATATATAAAAAAAAAGTGGAAATGTTTGGGTCAAGAAAATGAACACTGTGGGGAAAAAAGCATGAAGGAAGTGTAGGGGTAAAGAAAATGCCATCCTTTTACAGGCTACAGCTGAACTTAAAACCTTGACTTTATTACTACCTTTCTACCCCTTTCCTTTATACAGTGGTGTCCTTTGGATTTACGTTCATGTATCACTGTCTTCCAGAGATGAGAAATATGCTGTGACTTCTTCCTTCATGGTAATACCTGGTGTAACTGTGCTACTTTAGGGCATTTGTGTGTCCTTAAGCAAAACCTGAATTTGACGTTTGGGGGAACTTTGTAGTTTGAGAAGTTTGGTCAGAACTCTAACATCAGCATCCTCAAAACTGTCCTGGAGATAAAAAGCCTGCACTTAAAATGGGAGGATCCTCAGTAGATGGCTAAATAGGTTTGCTTTCTCCAAGCAAAAATAAATGACTCCCCAGTTCAACGGCAGCAAATTCATCTTTAATTTGCAGAACACTTGTTTCTTTCCTGTACTCCATATAAAAGATTCTTTAAGGCTTCGGGAAAATGAGAACAGGTTGCTTTTCTATATGCAATAATTTTCCTCTTGGAGCATTCTTCTGGCTCCCTCCACCATTCAGAGTGGGTGTACATGTGAACTGACAAATACTGCACAGCCTGTCTTCCAGCAGAACTCTGAGATTAATTAGTGGGAGGTAATACCTTTGACAAATTACCATATTCAAGCACAACACCTATTACATGTAACAAAGCTAACCCTTGTGCTTGCTTTCTGCCTTACTGGAAGAATGCCTAGGATTTCAGTTTCTTCTACCATGTTTCATTTATCAATATGAGAGATAAAAACACAGAATATCAGTCCCTTGTCATCCCAAGGACATCAGATTATATTGTAAAAAATAAATACGTATTGTTTGTAGGAATATAAACCTGCTGTGCACTGGGATTGTATGGGTTAGTGATACTGCCTGGGGATGGAGTCAGGAGCTGACCCATCGGTGGCACTAATTAGCAGTAGCACCTTCCTATTAGAAAGGCCAACAGTGAATTGGAATCTTCCCTCAGCTCTGCAAAAAGCACCTTCAGATGAAGGAAAGAGCACTGTGCAGGAGACTGCATGGAGATCCTATGCTTCACTGTCTCCCTGTAGTTATTTATGGAGGAGGACACGGCGGAATGTCTCTACCAGACAGAAATGCTCCCAGTTAAACCAGGGCAAAAAGAATCACAGCTTGGGGATTCCAGCACACTGGGAAGTTTGTCTGTATCATACACAGCTCGACTCCTGCTCAGTTTACTTTCCTCTGCTAGGACTCAGCACGCTTTCCAAAGGTTACTAATATTTCACTTCCTTCCTTCTTTTCCCCAGGAAAAGCACACTTAGCAGAAGAGAGAAACTTTCCCTCCACCAGATCCTTAAAAACTGCCTGCAATAGAGCCAGGTTTACCATACCCTGAGTATAAACACCATAAAGCTTGGTTTGCTGCAGGCAGCGCAGCCACTGAGCAAACAGGGAGAAACCACGTTGGTCTGGGTTATGCAGTGCACTCTCTTCCCTCCAGCTGGTTGATAACCCACATCCCACAGGGGCCCAGCAGTCAGTGTGCTTGCTGGCATTGCTGTGGAGCTCTCACATCCCCCCAGCCACAGCACAGGAGTGGGTGGCTCTGCTGGAAGAGCTTCACCTCTCTCTTGCCTTCTGCTTGGCTCTTGCATGTACTGCCAAGAGCAGCAAGAGAAGAAGGCTGAAGAAATCAACTCTTAGGTCCCAGCACACACCACAGAGATGTTCTCTTTTGTGGTTTAGAAAAGTTGTCTTACTCTGAATTCACTTAAGTAAACAAAGATGTGATCAAAAACTGTCCCATGAATGAATGAAGCCAGGCTAACGTAACCTGAGGATGAAAGGAGGGAATGGGCAGAACCCTATTCAGCTGCTGCTCTAACAGTTTCAAAATGCCTTTTTCTCCCTGGTACAAAATAGATCCCCATGACAGTGCATCATGTATTCAGCCTTTAGAAGAGGGAGCAGAGCATTACTCTTAGCAAAAGAGCAGTCGCTTCAGCGTAATGACCAACGACACAGGAGCAGTTTCTGTGGCATAATGCAGTTATCAGTAATTACTTCTATTCAGTTCTGTAACCATAAGGAATGTGCAGCACAACAGTTGTGTGCACTGGGGAACCACACGCCATGTGGGATATTTTTCATGTAAATAAGGAAAACCAATTCATTCCAGACCACAATACTGTATTCCATTCATTCGGCTTTTGAAGGTAACGTGTGGAGTTGAGCTGTTGTGATGATGGGGTGCAGTGCCTATTCAGCTATTTCTCCTGCACGCAGCTCCCAGTTTACCAGGCTTGCAGGGCTCCTTCCTCACCTGGCAGCCCTGTCCTTCCCTCTGCTCCTGTCTCCAGACATGCCAAAACAAACCTGAACTGCCTCCCGCCCTTGGGTCCCCGCCAGCTTGCGCATGTTGCACTTTAATGCTCTTAAATCTGTAGCTAAAGAAATATGTTAATGTGAAAATTAGTCAGAGCAATTGAAACATCTCAATCCTGCTTATCCAGGCCCTGCTTACAGCAAGAACTTTATGACCATAAAACTCCAACCTGAGCAGAAAGCAAAGCCAGGGTGGCACCTGTGAGCACCCCCAGCATGGCACACAGCAGCTGAGCATGGGGCAGCACTCCCCAGCAGGGATGAGATGCGCAGGGACGTACAACACGTCCCCTCGCTGCAGGGCTCACAGGGTTGTCAGCACGCCCTGGGATGCCCCGAGCAAGGCAGCACCTTTAGTCACGTACAAAGGATTACAGAAACAAACTTCCTAACAGCACGGCTCTGAACAGATGGGGACGGGTTGAAGCATGATGCTGCTGTTCCCACTATGCCCGACCAACGCCACTGACACGGTCCCCATGCAGACCCCAACCCTGTGCCTCTCTGCTCTGCTCCCCTTGCTCCTGAGACCGGCTGAGAGCATTGTTGGGAACTGGGGTCACGAGCCCCTGGGGCTGCCAGGAGCACATCGAGGGGGTCAGACTGCAGAGGGCAGCCTCAGTGATGTCCTTACGGCCTCCTTCCTGTCCTGCTGGCCTACAGCCTCTGTAGGACCCCATCAATGCCCTACAGCCAGCACAACCCCCGGCAGCGCTGACTTACCGCTGGCATCCGCCGGCATCCTGTCAGCCTCGGAGGTGGCAGAGGGCCATGGGCAGCAGCTCGCAGTGTGGCAGCCCATGGCAGGGTGGGGGGCTCAGTGCCGGGGGGGAGCTCGGCCGCCTCTGCTCTCCAGGCAGGGCAGCAGCATCCCCACGCTCTCCAGCATCACTGCATCACCATGGCAACGCAGGATGACTCACCAGGTACCAGTGACATCAGAGGAGGGGACTGGGGTTGGATGATCCTAGTTTGGTTTTGCTCATTAAAGCTGGAACGCTTTGTCCAAGGAAAGTGCTCCAATTCAGGCCAGCCAGAGAAGCAGCAGATCAGCCGTATTGGCTGTGCTGCTGGTCCCACCGTGCACCTGCCTGCAAGAGTGGTGGCTGGAGCCTCTTATGTTATAGCCTTCATCTATTTTCTTGTAGTGACTTAAACAAGCACCAGACGAAATGACTTTAAAGCAGGATATCCTGCTGCTGGCACCTGCATCACCAGTAGCACTGCTCGCTGCAGTGGCCCAGCCGTGGACCAGGCTGCGGTGGGGGCAGCAGGACAGCACCAGCCACAGCTCTGATGCTTCATGGAACAGAGCTATTTCTGAAAAGCAATAAATCAAAGCACTTCCTTGCTTTGTGCTTGAGTGCAGTGCTCAGTGCTGAGACGTCCCCACTGAGTGCTCACCGACTGTGAGCGAGCCTCTGCAGCCCCACAGCACCTGGCCCACTAAGAGGAGCCCTGAAGAGGCCTTGGTTGGAAGCTGCTGAGAAACAGAGTTACCTCAGCACAGATGTGGGCTTGTTTATGCATCACCACCATCATCACCACCATCTCCACATCTGGACATTTCGATAGTACCTGCGCTCTGCAGGGATTCGTTATGCAATACAGCACTGACACTTTGTTATCTCTCTCTCGCTGCCTTCGTTAAGATCTACCCTGATAGGACACAAAGAAATATTTCTAGTGAGATGAAAAGTCCTGCGTGAGCGACCCTGGCGATGGCACAGCTCTGTGAGCTTTGAGCAAGGAACCAACACCCCGAGGGCAGCAGTGAGCCCCTGCCCCAGTGCTGCTCAGGGGGCTCAGCCCGTCCCGCTGGCACCAACGCAGGGCAGGGAATCAGACACCCTGTGGATATTTCCAGCACAGTGAGCTATAAATACATTGTAGGAGACCTCATGGGCTCGGGCAGTGATGGCACTGGGAATCCTGCAGCCATGAGCACTGCCTGCGCAGGGCAGGGACGCAGGAGGGGGGCACAGGGCATGGATCTCATGGAGCTTTCTGCTTTTTTCCCCGCTTCTCAGTGCGTGTTCAAGAGTGGGAGCATGGGAGGAAGGCGAGTGCTGCTGCGCATCGAGGTAAGTGGAGAAAGAAGGCCGTGATTCATCGCATGCAGCCTGGCAACGAGCTTGTCTAGAGGGGAAAACGCAGACAGGAGGGACTTGCTGCAGTGGAGAGCCAGCTGCTCGGAAATAGTGCCTGCTGGCCTTGTGAGGAGAGTTTAGAAGGGCCCCAATGATTTTCCTTTAGCATGTTGCACAGAGGGGTGGCAGCCTGCATCTGCAGGTACTGCAAGGGAACAGAAAAATAATCAAGTCCTCAATGCCAAGAGGTATAAGGGAGATGTCCCAAACCCTCCTGGCTTCATGCAAGGAGATGGAGTGCAGAGGCTGCACACTGGGGCATGCAGCTGGCATCTACAGCACGGCACCACGGGCTCTGCTATTCCTATGCACACAGCAACAAGGAGCTGAGTAATTCAGCCAAATCCTGGGTGTGTGGGAGCTGTGAGACTGCCAGGCCCAGATTCCCTGCTTAGTGGCCCTTTCTCAGAGGGCACAGAAGCTCATCAGAACCTAAGTGCGGGTTATGCCCAAGCTACAGCTCACAAAAGCCAAGTAACCACATCATGCATAAGCACTACACCTCATCCATGAATATTTTCAGGAGGTACCTGCAAAGCACACCCAGAAACAACCCACAGCTCCGAGCTGTGCTTGCAGAGCACGAGGTCGGCACGGCCGCGGGGCCCTCGCTCCCAACCAGCCCAACCAGCACGTTGTGCAATGCCTGATGGCATCACACTGGCTGGGTTCCACAAAACCCATCTGAGGATTACAACTTCCCTATGGAAGTCAGAGGAAACCCAGCAGGGTGCCCCGGCTGCAGGACCCCAGGGCTGAGCCAAGCACTCAGAGCCACTGCAGCCAGTCCTGCCACCTGGGCACCGGCTGCACACAGCGCACAGCCCAGGTCTGAGTGCTGCTCACCTCTCCAGGGTTATTTTGGTGCAGCTGATGTGGTTCAGCACAGCTCAAGTTACTGGATGTTCCTCCCCCCACAAGGGACAGGATTCCTGGTGACACTGGATAGGGCTACGGCCAGCTCTGCTCAGGTCACCTCCCTGGCAGCTTACCACCACTGCTGTCCTCTTCACGCACGCAGCCCTGTCCTGTCCTTTCCAAGCCATTTTCCAGGAGCAAATCCCAGAAGCTGCAGTTCAGCTCACAGCTCACTGCGTGTCTTGCATCCTCTGCAGCTTCTGCTGCTTCTTTTGGCCAATTCCCCTCTTACAGAAAGATCACAAAACAGCGAGATCAAGGCAGAACAAGAGATTGGGTCACATCCTGCACATCCCTCGTGCTGGGCTGCCAGGCCAGCAGAGCTCACAGGGACAGCATCTGCCCTTTCTTCTGCTCTGCTGGAGCCCAGCACAAGAGATATGTTAGAGGAGGCAGCCATGTCTATTCACACTGTTCTGCTCTTTCTTAAGGATCAGTGCTACCATCAACCATTTGGTCATGGGAGAAGAGAAAATACATGAAAGAAAAAAGCCAGAACACAGGAGCCGTTCTGCTGAACCACTCACTGAGGAAACTGGAACACCTCGTACCACGCTGATTCTGTTGGCGATGCTGAAGTGAGACGCTACCAACAACGATGAATTCCTACAGCTGAGCACAACCTGTACTTACCCGTCCCACCTCCTGCAGCACGGATTTTGGCTCTGATGGCAGCAGGAGGTGACTTGGGGGGCAGGGCAGTGGAGATCCCTTCCCTGCATCACTGCTGAAGAACGCCAGCAGCACTTCTGTGTGCTGAGCACAGCTCGTCTCCAGCACTGACAAACACCGGGCCATTACCAGCCGTCCTGTCGCTGACATGGCAGGCACTTCTTCATTCTTTAAGGTGTGGATTTCTGCCTAGACCTGCTGTACCTGTTCAGGTGCTGAAGTACCATTATCTAATGATATACCACGGGCTGTTTGCAGTGTTTTATTTGTTTTTGTTTTAATTTGAAGTTATGGAGAGCTGCCCTTTGAACTGTCCTCACCCTCCTGTCGATTTGTGCATTGAAGGGAATTTCAGCTCTGGGCCACGTGGCACCAAGAGAACACCTGCAATTAATAACACTGCGTTCAGAAACCTGCACAGAGCAACAAGCACTTGGATGGCTCGTGTTCTAACCCCCCACCTTCCCACAGGATGCAATGACAATTACTGTGAATGCCTCACAAGTGGCTGCAACATGTGCTAAACCAACCGGCTGCTGGCAGGTGCTCTTCCTTGCTCTGAACATTGTGTGAAAATGCTAAAAGCCCCACCTATTCTTCAGAGGAAAACCTCACTCACTTACACTCTCACTCAATTGCCTCCATGGCAACTGCACACAAGTGGGCACAGCTCACAGGTGCTTCCCGGTGCGGTGCCAGATAGCCAGCAGCACTGGCACAAGTGGGAGCGTTTGCATTTAGCCGTGTGCTGCATCCCACTATGCTGACAGCTGCTATTTGCTCAAGCTGTTTTCCTTCATGAGGGTTCCCCTGTTGCAGATTGATGAATTGGAAGCCTTTTCTTCGATGACATTCAAGTTAAATTCCTCTTTAGTATCAGTCCATCACAGGGAAGCACCAAATGCTGCCTCACACGGCTCTTACAGTGAAACCTACCAATGAAACTTTGTCCTGAGCAATGGAGAAATGGTTTCCAGATGCAAAAACAGTAACTGAATCACCAATTGCCACTCAAGTTTTGTTACATGGTTACCGATCAGCTATCAAAGGGCCTTACTTCCTGAGAAACAACTCCAGCAGTCTGCAGATACAGAGAAAACTGTATCTGAACAGTTCAGAAATGTTTGCTACCCCTAAAAATGATGTTTCAGAACACCTTGTAATAAATCAAAAAACCTTTATTTTTAAGTTATAATATAAATTTACAGCACACACAACATCAGTGTCTTTAGTGTGTATGTGTGAGCAGGCTTAAAGACTCAGCATTCATTCCAGTCTTGCTCATGGGTATGACTTCTCCACCTGCTAAAGGTACGTAACTGTTCCAATCTGAACAGGTCTGGCTTAGCTCAAGACCTCAATAACCTCTAGGAAAATACTTCAGTGGACAACAGCAAACGTTTAGAAGAAAAACAAGTCAGTAGCACTTCTTCCTTGCTGTCTGAAGGGCTCCGTATTGGGGCAAAGCCGGGCTCCCCAGGCAGGGAGAAGTCAGTGACCCACATCAGTGTGTCCAGAATGAACCCTGAATTCCACAGGCTCAGCGATGTCCGCCCTAAGTTAAGCTTCATAAAAGTAACATTACATCTTGGAAACAGCTGTGCATGCCACACACCAGTGTCAGCTTCATATAAAAATTATCATATGCCATACCTCATGATTTTATACACAGGTGAAATTTTACTGGTGCTACTTTGTGGTAAGTGCTGAATGGCAAATCACATTCTTGTACAGGTCGTTAAATTACAACACAAATTTGCAAGTTAAAGATCTCCACAGGCCTCTGTCATCCACTGCAAAGACACTTTGTTCTGTGGGGCTTCATTTAAAACATGATTCAATTTCTTCCCTCTCCCCAGAACACGATATAAAACTATATCTAAATCCGGAAATCATTTAATGCATCTATATTTATTGAACTTCACATGCTGCAAACAGGATCTGCATTGAAGATCTTTAAATCTAGGAAAAAAGGCCCTTCAAACCCCCTTTCGTTATCAGGATGCAGGTGAGAACAACTGCCATGAGAACACATTCACATAGGCACGATGTGCACTGCTTGCTCCTTCCTCTGCAGCACTGGGGCTGCCATCCTGGCCAAGCTCACTGACTGTCCTAATTCTGACAGCAAACCAATTGTCCCAAAGGAGAGGACACAGTCAGTGGTCTGCTCATGCCTTAAAGCATAATGACTTACAACTGGATGGAAAGATCCAGCTCCAAGTGCTGCTATTCTGCCAGTTAATAAAAACGCTACTTACTGCAAGTAGAAAAATGGGGGAGAACTTTGGAAACGCTCACTGTACTTCAAGAAAATTGCTGCTGAAGACACTGGGAACCTCCTTATCTCCCCTACAGGCAACGTTTGCTGACAGTGTTACAATACATTCCTTTGGTGCAATGCTTATTCAAACAACTTGCAAAATATATTCGAGGTCCTCAGTGCGTGAATCACAACGTCCAAAAACTAACAGTCTCAAGTACAAAGGATTCCTATCACCACCCAAGCGTCTTGGATATGAACATCAGTTTTCAAAAGACAAGTTGGTTCCAGGAGAGGGAGGAGAGAAATGGGGGTCAAGGTTCTGGGACACATGTGGGACAGGCTGGGAGCAGCCCAAAGCGAGCAATTAGCAGCAGCTTTCACAGGAGCGAACCTTGCACTTTCCCAGAAGAGCAAGAATGCAGTGATGGCTGCTTTGGAAACAGTGCAAGTTTATTGTCCAGCTGCACGGAGAACAGGGGTGTCCTTGAAATGGTGGTAAAGATCAGCAAACCGTGCAAGGATGATCTGCTGTGGCCGTTTCCACACAGTGATGCAGCAATCTGAAAGGAAGACTCACGCCACTGCTCACACTGAGAAAAGAATGGCATTTTCTTTGGACTGTACCTAGAGGTTTACAGGAGCATTACGCTGTCTCAGGCTCACAGATCACAACTGACCAAGGTCCAAGCTGCAAAGTGGCCACTGGCACTTTTTCCAAGTACATCCCTTTAAGTGCACCCCCCTTGAGGATAAACACGAAGCCCTGAGAACAAACTTCCACACAATACATTTCTATTAAAAATATCAGTGTTTTGATGACAAAATTATAGATTATATCTATTTAAATAAATAGCTAGCTTTCAAGAGTCGTGTAATATCAAAAGGCAGAAGATTGTCTTGATCAATGGATAGGGGAAAGAGCTAGGAGAGTTGTAAGGAATAGACACTGCATTGTAAGAACCACCTACTGTTCCATTTCCTTATTTCTCCTTGATTTCACAGGCTTCCAGTCGTTCCTTTGGCTGTTATGTGACACTTACACATGGCATATCTTTACTACTTACAACGTGAACACCAGAGATGCAAGCATGGGACCTGAACCTGTAAATCCTTACTCCCACGAGTAGTTCTTCACGAAATTAACTTGTTTATTAGAACAAAAACTTCTATTCCAATATGCTTAGGGACCTCTCGCTTACAGAGCAGATCCGTCAGCCTTTTATCCTTTAGCCACAGAACAGGCAGGCTTGTGCCCAGGAAGCACTCTTAATACAGAGACTCCTCTGGCCTGGAGATCTGCCTCCACACGTTCTGACTAACAAGCAGTGATCAAGATTTTTGCAGATTTTGTAAAAATTGGGACAAATCAATGCTTCTACAAGCATAATGAACTTGCAGCCATCCTCCCACTGGTAACTCATCAAGCAGCAATACACCCAGTTGTCACAGGGACACACAGCTCCTCAAGTCTGCTGCCAATTCATACCCACAGAACAATGCTGGTGTCTCGATTAGCTCCTCAAAGGGTTTGTTCAACCTTAAGGGCAGTTTTGGCTTCCTTCAGTTCAACTCTTAAGCCTTGCTGCAAACCTCACACCTCCTAAGTCCTGGCCTCTTTCAGAGACTGGCCACTGGAACCTTAACCCCTCCAACATTTCAGCTACACAAGCTTTGAGCTCTGAAATAAGCAAAGCCAGAAACAACCACATATTCTCAAGCCTTCACGCATTTTAAAGATGCAGTATTCCTTTATCCACACAGTATCTAACTGCTGCTACAGCACCAGATGATGTTGTTGAACCCTGGCATCCTTACCTTCACCTATTAGACGTGCATTCCTTGTTTTACTCATACTTTCTTCCTTATAAGCCAGCAGTGGCTCTGACTCTGTTCTGGCATACCAAGGGAGGCAACTCTGATAACTTTTACCACTCCTACCAAACTGACACAGAGAACAAGTTCAGTAGCAGATCCTGGCAGTGCTGCACTCTGCAGAAAGGCACGAGCAGCAGAATCTTCACGCTTAGGAGGAGCCACTCTGCTCCTGTGAAGGAGGTCGGACAGCATTCAGCTTCAACCACACGAAAACCAGAGAGCCTGCTCAAATTCATCACCCACAGTGCCTTGGCAGCGGCAGCAGGCAGCCCCAGGAGCAGCTGGGTGTTGGAACAACCAACCTGAACAAACGCCTCTATAAACCCTGGCATTTCTAAACACAAAAGTAAATACTTCAGCAGTTGCAAACCATAAAACTTAACATGAAACTACAGATAACAAATAAAAAAAAAATCCTGGGATACTAAGTCGAGATAAAATCTCATGCTGTTTTGTTTCCCCACCCTTCATCTTAATTATGAGAAATTGGCAACTTCAGTGCCTCGACTGCACAATAGCACAGACGAGGTGCCAAGTTCAGGCCAAAACTTGTCATAGGGTTTCAGGTTGCATCTTGTAGCATTTTCCTTCTTAAAACAAAAACATACACTCAGAAAGGAACTTGGCAGAGCCATCTGGGATCTGTTTGACAGACACCTTTCAAAAAGAAAAAGGCTACACAACACAACTGCAGCAGGGATTGTGAGACGTCAGCTGCGTTTCACTGCCTTGCAAACAAAAGCCTGCATGGCCCAACCACGAGAAATGGGCTCAATATTCACCAGTGAGTTCTTTTCTTAAAAGCTCACGGCACCTGTCTGAAATCTCCACTCTTCCAACAAAACTAAGCAAGACATGGCCTGACTTTCTTGATATTTCCAAAGAGAAAGCGTCGAGGACAACCACTTCTATGCCAAAGTAATTAATTTTGAGCGTGCTTTTAAGTATGTTAAAAAATAATACAAAACCCAAAGTGTTTCTGCTTCTTTGCAGATCAGCATTCAAGGGAAATCCATGCAAATAAGTTGCTTTTTTGTTAACAGTTTGGAACAGTCAACAGCACAAGTTCCCCTTTGCAAAACTGTGCACACAAAATGGAAATAAAACCCACATGAAAATACCCCCCTTGCACGAAGATATGGCATAGGATAACCTTATGATCTGCAGCCTACTGGAGAATCCAGGCGTTGGTGTAATAAGTTCTGCCAACAAAGAGATGCTGCATCTTTAACATAGCTGACAACCTCTGAGAAGTGTAACTAATGTTGGGCTGGAAGAACACTAATGCAGGAAATAAATAGGAAAAAGTAATGCTATTTATTAGACGAATTCCATCTATGAATTATTCTGTTTGAATCATTATGCAAGACAAACAAGTCTGGACAGAACTGTGCTTGCACTCCCAGTATTTGGACTTTTAAAAAATATTTCCTAAGAATCAATTTTTAAAAGCATTTTGTCATTTGATATAGCCATAAATTAATACTGCATGGAGATGATTAATATCCTATGCTAGTGGTCAGTGACCTTTTGTAAACGCTAGCCAGATGCTAGTAAAACTGGCTAGAAAACTACTGTCACAGGCCTTTTTTTAACAAGCAATATCATATTTCTTTCTGACAAGCATATTCTTAATTGTTTTCACAAAACCTTTTCCTATTTTTTGATACACTTTATTTTTAACCTAACACCTGAAAACATAGACAAGTCTTCAAACCTCTTCCACTAACACTAAATTCACAAGGCAATTAACTTCAGTTGGCCATAACTACATAAGCTCTCACGTGAGACCCCTACTCAGACAGCATCCCCCCCCCTCCCCAAACAATCCATGCACCCTCCCCATTGAGAAGGTGACACAAGGGACAGCAGGAAGTGGCACAGTGGTCTGGCATTCCCCCCTACGTGCGATTCAGCGTCTGGAAGATTCGAGAGATCTGCAGCATGACAGGCCCAGTTTCTGGATCGTTCATCCACTGAGTGCTGTTCAAGGGGTTTTCAAGCATATCTTCAAAGGCTGCCAAGAGAAGGAAACCAGCA